CTCCTGATTAAATTATCCGGCCTCAAATTCAATAACATCCTTATTTTATTAAGAGGCAGCTGCTTTGCTGTCTTACAGTTGGCTAAGCCCCCAAGGCCAGGGTTCCGCGGATGGCCGCGGATGGCCACCCCCAGGGGACCCTGTAACAATCAGGAATCTTCTCCTGCTCTTCTTCCTCCTCCTCCTTCTCCATCTTCTTCCCATGCCAGGGATGGAGCCCGCAGGTTGGCACCTGCAGGCAAGGGCACCCCCAGCTCACCAGGAATTGTTTTTGAGTCAGGATGTAGGCAGGTGAGTTGGCTGCCTGAGACCTGGTTAATCCTGAGCCTGTGGCGGAGCTGGTGGTTAATGGGAGCAGCGGCTTTGGCAGAAGTATTTGAAATCTTCCAGCCAGAAAAGACGATTTGGGGAATAGCTACTTCAGCTCAGAGCTTTCCCTCTGAGAGTCCATTAGCGGGGATATTAGGCCAGAGCCAGGGCTCAGCGAAAGAGAGACATGGTCACATCCCAGGGGAGGCAGGCTGTCCCTGTCAGAACCCCAGGAACACCTGTGTGCTCACACCTGCTGTCGCCAGCATTTCCCTCGGGCTGTGACCTCCGAACTATACCCAGACTAGGAGGAAATGACACTGAGACTCCCAACCACTGCGCCTTCTAGGTCATTCCGGCAGCTCCCGGGGGCTTGAACTTAACTGTGCACTTGAACTTGAACCTGCCAGGCAAAACTCGGGATCTTAGCTCATGGCATTTAATTGCACACTTGCAAAGAACGCTCTGGCGAGGTGCATCCAACACAGTCAATTATTTTAGGCAAGCCACGGAGGCCTTTGCTTTGTGCCACTTAAATCCGGCTTCTCTGTTCTAACTCAATTTCATATGTTGGGGGGGGGATGCCTTGTTTATTTCAAAGGACACGCTAGGAAATGGAGGCAAGAGATGTTAATTACGGTGAGCAGGGTGGCTTTGTTTCTGCAGAAATGAAAGTCTTGGTGGGGGAAGGGGATGCCCTTAATTGCTCGGGGATCAAAGCCAGGGAAGATGGACACTTGGGCCTCTGTTCATTATTTGGCTTTGTGTCATTTTTAAAGGATTGGGTTTGTGGCCAAGGCTCAGCGGCTCACACCCGAGATCCCAGTTGCTTAGGAGGCAAAGATCAGGAGCATCACAGTTCCAGGCCAGCCTGGGCAAACAGTTAGTGAGACCCCATCTCAACAAAGAAGCTTGGTGTGGTGGCGCACACTTGTCATCTCCACTACATAGGAGGTGTACATAGGAGGATCACGGTTCAAGTCTGGCCACAACCAAAACACAAGGCCCTACCTGAAGAATAAAGCAAAAAGGGCTGGGTGTGTGGCTTCTCCTGAGGGAGGATCTGAGTGCAAGTGCAAGGTCACCATAACCATGGGTTCCACATCTGCTGATTCAAACATCTACAGGTTGAAAATATTAGGGGAAAAATTATGTCTGTACCGAACAAGCCCAGGCTTCTTTTCTTGTCATTATTCCCTAAACAATACAGTGTAACAACCATTGCCATGAGGTTTCCATTGCTTTAGGGGTTCTAAGCTGCCTCAGGGGGTTTAAGATCTGTAGGAGAAAAGGGCAAACACTCTGCCCTTTTCTGCTAGGAGCATCCTCAGGGGTCCCGGAACTTAGCTACCCAGAGACGGCTGTGTTTACCTAGGAGGAAGCCACAGGAAGAAGCAGGGGAGCAGGGCAGAGAGGAAGTAAAGGAAGGAGACCCCTGCAGGGTGAGCTAATAAGCTAGTTGCAGCCTGGGCCACTGTGGCACAGACCCTGGGGCTCTGCCGTGAGGCCTCGAGGATGACACGCTTCCAAGTGCTCTTCCATGGAAGCCGGGGATGGTGGTGCATGCCTGCAATCCCAGCACTCAGGAGGCCGAGTGAGGAGAACTGAAAGTTCAAGGCAGCCCAGGCTGCAAAGAAAGATCCTGTCTCAAAAAGCCAAACCAATCTAGGCACCATGGTTTATGCCTATAATCCTAGCCACTTAGGAGGCAGCAATCAGGAGGATTGTGGTTTGAGGCCTGCCTGAGCATAAAGTTCAGAAGACCCTATCTCAACCAGTAAAAGCTAGGCATAGTGGTGCATGCCTGTCATCTCAGCTAAGTAGACATAGGAGGACTGAGGTCCAGGCTGACTGGGCAGAAATGCAAGACCCATTCAGAAAATAACTAAGGCACTGGAGGCTCAGGCCTATCGTCGTAGTTACTTGGGAGGTTTAGATCTGGAGGACTGCAGTTCAAGGCCAGCCTGGGGAAATAGTTCAAGAGATTCCATCTCCAAACTAACCAGAATGAAAATGGATTGGAAGTGTGGCCCAAGGAGTAGAGCACCTGCTTTGCAAGACTGAAGCCCTGATTCACTGGTGAACCCCAGTCTCACCAAACAACAACAAAAAAGTGGTAGAGTGCCTGCCTAACAAAGACAAGGCCCTGAGTTCAAACTCCACCACCACCAAAACCAAAAAACAAACCGAACAAAAACAGTTCTCTCACGGGGGAGGTCCCCAGCCCCTGCGAGCCCTTGTTGAGGTCAGTGGGTGCAAAGAAGGACTTCCCTGCCTGTCCAGTGCAAAGGCAGAGCGGACCCTGACCACCAGAGGGCGCTCTCCGCCGCGGGCATCTGGCCTGCAGTAAGCGCGGGCTGGCTGCACGCACTTCACCCCCGGGTGCAAGGAGACTTGAGAAGGGCAGATTTCCCACAGAGGGAGGGGCGCGGGGACTCCCAAAGACGGGGTTCCTCCAGTCAGGCGGGGTGTACACAAGGCACAAAGAATGACTCATTGTAACGGGTTCACTCGGCATTTTTGAATGGTTTATTTTTCTTATAAATTAGTGGAGGAGTGGAACTCATCTGTGCAATTATACCATTTGCTCTCATTCCAATAAGCTTAAAAAAAAGAGTTTATTGAGTGGGAAGAGGAAAAGGTGGGGTGATGGCGGGAGACTCTGATTGCTCATAAGTCATAGTCGGGCTTATCTGTACCACAGCTCGCGGGTGAGCGGTAATGACCGTGCAGATGATCGATTTCTGGGCTGCTGCTTTTCTCTGCAAGACACTTGTGGTTTTATCAGAGCTTCTTCCATGCTTGTAAGAGTGCATCCTGGATTGGGCCTGGATTTTCCATTTCCTGTCTCTTGGCCTCCACCATCCAGCCTCACTGCCTCCACCGGCCCATGCGGACACCTCTGCTTTGGTCTCCCTGCCTTGCATCCCCTACCCCACCCCCACAGCAACCAGCAGTCACTTTAGCACCACGACTGTCCTCTGCCTAGAACCCTCTGTGGCTCCACCTCACTCAGCGCAGAAGCTGAAGTTCATGCTGTAGCTCACAGGACTCTGCGCTGTCTCCCCACACTCAGCCTCTCCGCGTACCCCCCTTTGCTCTGCTCTGCACACACAGCCTCCTCCGTGGTTCCCAGCCCCGCCAAGCGCCATCCAGCCTCAGGGTCTTTGCACTTGTGGTTCTCTCTGCTCAGGATACCCTTCCCCAGACGTGCACCTGGCTCTCCCTCACCTCCTCTGGTCTTCCTCAAATGACCCTAATGTCGCAACCCCAAAGTCCCTTAGGTACCCTCACCCCACCCTATCCCTTTCCCTCCCTGTATGACTTATTTTCGTGGAACTCAACATTTTAAATATTTGATGTTTTCTGATTTACATCTGTGGCTGTTTGCTTTTTTTTGTTGTTGTTGTTCGCTGGGATTTGAACTCCAGGCCTACACTGGCTAAGCAGGTGCTCTCACCACTTGAGCCATTCCGCCAGCCCTGTTTTCTGTGTTGGGTTTTTTCAAGATAGGGTTTCACGAACTATTTGCCTGGGGCTGGCCTCAAACTGTGATCCTCCTGATCTCTGCCTCCCGCAGTAGCTAGGATTATAGGTGCCCTGCAGCCCAGGCTGGCCTTGAGTTTGCAGTCCTCCTGCCTTGGCCTCCCAAGTGCAGGGATTACAGGTGCACACCTCCACACCCAGTCTTCATATTTACTGGTTTTTGAACAGCATTATCTTTCATCCAGTTTTGGACTTAATCTGGTTTTGGGCTCTGATGAGTCCTGCAATAAAGAAACTTTGACAAGATTGACAGTGTACAAACTTATTTAACCACAGCGCACCCTACTGCCAGCACCTGGTAAGACTGGCAGTGTTCCAAGGAGCATGATTTGAAGCTGGATGCACGCCTGTAATTCCAGCATTCAGGAAGTTGAGGCAGAAAGATGGAGAGTTTGAGGTCAGCCTGATTCGCATAGTGAGGTCCTGTCTAAAAAAATAACTCAGGACTTAACAAGGAACGTGTCTTGGGAAACACAGTCATAATTGATCGCCAGATTGAGCAGCTTAAATTGACTGGAAGTTTAATTTAGGAGACATCGTCATTTTTTGTTGTTGTTGGCACTGAGGTTTGAGCTCAGGGCCTCACACTGTACTGCTTGAGCCACTCCGCCAGCCTTGTGTTGAGTTGGGTTTTTGCAGATAGGGTCTCACACACTATTTGCCCTGGCTGACTTCGAACCTCAATCCTCCTGATCTCTGCCTCCTGAGTAGCTAGGATGACAGGCGTGAGCCACCAGTGCCCAGCAAGATTGCACTTTGTTAGTGACCCCTGAGATATGTTCAGGGTCCACGTGCCACTGCAGACTGGGGACACTGAGAGGGAGGTCCAGGCTGAGGGTCATGACAAGTGCATCTATGTCCTATCATGGAGGCAGTGTTGTCTGTGTTCACACGTGTGTGAGAGAATGAATTCCCAGCTTGGAAAGGAGCTTCGATCCCACAATTCCTTGCCGCATTCCTTAACCCTCCCAAGCCTCAGTCTTGTCATCTGTAAAATGGGCATCACACACAGTGGTCTTCCACATCCCAGCCATCAGCAGAGAGCGTCTGTGATTTCCAGGGATTCCTCCCACTTTCTCTCCCAGCAAGACCCAGGTGAGCCACCCCCACCATGGGGTCCTGATCTCTGACCCACTCTATCCCAGACCCTCTTCCAGAGCCCGGAAGAGGGCTGGCAGCTGTACACCTCGGCCCAGGCGCCCGATGGCAAATGCATCTGCACGGCCGTGATTCCCGCACAGAGCACCTGCTCCCGCGACGGCAGGAGCCGGGAACTGCGGCAGCTGATGGAGAAGGTAGGAACTTCCAGGTGCCGCCAGGAAGCGGGGACGTTCTTCCCGCTGGGCCTCTGTCCTGGTCAGGTTTGGGGGACCCAGTCATGTGGCCAAAAACCCAGCTGTCCTCTGGGTAGGCATGCCTCCCTTTTTTTTGGCAGTCCTGGGGTTTGAACTCAGGGCCTGCACGCTTGGTAGGCAGGTGCTCTACCACTTGAGCCACTCCGCCAGTCCTCCTCTGATTGTTAATAATGTCTACCAGAACGTCTCATGGTGTCTGGGCTGGGTAGAGGCTGCCGAGGAAGACATCAGTAACAAGATTCCAGAGAATAGTGACAGCTGGTGAGGGGAGGGGAAGCTGGGGTGCAGACCTGAGGACAGTACAGCAGGTAGAGGGGCAGCAAGTGCAAAGGCCCTATGGATGGGAGGTTGGGATGGTTTGACTGCAGAGGAGGCAGGTGAGGCTCGGGACCCACCCTTGAAGGATCTGAGGGGAGGAAGGTGACCTGATTTCTTTTTTTCCTTTCTAGGACTGGGTTTGAACTCGGCCTTTTGCACTCACTTGAGCCACTCTTCTGGTCCATTTTGCTCTGGTTGTTTTGGAGCTGCTGGTGGTGGTGGTGGGGGGGGTGTCTCAAAAACTATTTTCCCAGGCTGGCCTCAAACCTCGATCCTCCCAATCTCAGCCTCCCAAGTAGCTGGGATTACAGCCTTGAGCCACTGTTGCCTGGCCTGATCTTGCCTTGCTGTGGGGAGAATTTACTGCAGGGGCTGAGAGCAGAAGCAGGAGTCAGGGGAGAGGTGACGCATGGTGGTAGCCAGACAAGGTAGGACCAGGGAACAGGACCCGGAAGGATGGGACACTATCAGGAGGTTTCTAGGAAATCTGGTCTTTGGGATCTGAGGGCGGGGCTGGGAGGAGGAGTTTGGGCCTCCAGCATTGTCCCGTCCTAGGTCCAGAACATGTCGCAGTCCATGGAGGTCCTTGAGCTGCGGACGTTCCGTGACCTCCAGTACGTGCGCAGCATGGAAAGCCTCATGCGCAGTCTGGACGCCAGGCTCCGGGCGGCCGACGGGTCGCTGTCGGCCAAGAGCTTCCAGGTGGGTCCTCCTGGGGTTGGGTCAAAGGTCAAGTCAATGTCCCCTGCCCAGTCCTCACACTCATGGACGGGATCGGTGCCCACCCGTGCCAAGAGTGATTGGCTGGCCTCCGGGGTCCCTTATGGCCGGGTGTGCATCGAAGACACCGGGTGGAGTTGCGGGTCAAAGGTCGGGGGTCAGGATGGGGGACCGTTCTGCCTTGGTGGGCAGGAGCTGAAGGACAGGATGACGGAGCTGCTGCCCCTGAGCTCGGTCCTGGAGCAGTACAAAGCGGACACTCGGACCATCGTGCGGCTGCGGGAGGAGGTGAGGAACCTGTCGAGCAGTCTGGCCGCCATCCAGGAGGAGATGGGCGCCTACGGGTACGAGGACCTGCAGCAGCGCGTGATGGCCCTGGAGGCCCGGCTCCACGCCTGCGCCCAGAAGTTGGGTAAGACTTGACCTTGACCCGTGGCTGCCACACCCAACCCTAATTACTACCTGTGTCCCAAAGCTGGGCATGGTTTTGACCTCTAATTTCTAAACTTCAACCCCTGATCTTTCTACACCAGACCAAATCTGGGTCCAGAATCTGGAAATGACCTTGACCCTTGACCTCCAACCTTTCACCCCCAACCTCACTCCATACTGGAATTGGATTTTGGCTTCCTCCCTCACCCCTGGTCCCAGTCTTCCGATTTGCTCCTTGTTCTGCCTCCTCTGGGCTCCTCCTGTCCCCCACCTTACCCTCACGTCTGCTGTCCTGTCCCCCAGGCTGTGGGAAGCTGACTGGGGTCAGTAACCCCATCACCATTCGGGCCATGGGGTCCCGCTTCGGCTCCTGGATGACAGACACGATGGCCCCCAGTGCAGACAGCCGGGTGAGTGACAGTGCCCACTTCAGGGGTGAGAGCCTGGGAGGGAAGTGGCCCGTGACTGCCCACAGGTGCCCTGGGATTCCACAGCAATGACTTGTAGCCTCAGGTGTCCTGGGTCCCCAGGGCCCTTGGACTTCTCTTGACTGTTTAGTGACCAAGGACAATTCCAGCCCTGTGAATCCCAAATTTACTGACCTCCTATGATTCGACGGAGGCTAGTGGTCACCGCGTACAGTTATGTATAATTTTACAACCGTCACGCTCCGAGAACGATACCGTTAGACGGGTCTGTCATTGTTCACACATCACAGAGTCCTTCAAACAAAAATGGCTGGGTGCTGTCATCTTATGGGCCCACTGTCACACATGTGGTCCACCGTTGTCTGAAATGTCATTACGTGGTTTGTGACTGACCAGTTCCCAGTGACCACTGACTGAAATATGCACCCAGTGACATCCCCACAAAAGCACTGCTGTGACCTTTGGACTCCAGTGGTCTCCACGATCATGATCACTTATCACCTAGACACACAGGAACCGTCCACCGACTGTCCAGTGACTGTGCTGCACTGGTGACCTTTCTAGTGACTGGTACTGGTCCCACGGTGCACACTGAGTGGCTGTAGGTAGTCATTAGTCTTCCTGCCACCAGGATCACTGGTTTCCTTAACGTCTGTCTCTAGTTTCCTTATCTTCAAAATGGATGTGACAATGTCAGCATTGGAGTTTATAAGATTCTTATCTCAATAAGGAAACTTGTGCCAGACGCGGTGGCTCACGCCTCTAATCCCAGCTACTTGGAGGCAGAGGTAAGACGACTGAGGTTTAAGGTCAGCCTGGAGAAAAGTCAGCATGACCCTATGTCAAAGAGCAAGCCAGATGGTGGCTTACGCCCGTAATCCCAGCTATGTGGAGGCAGAGGTATTAGGATCCAGGTCTGAGGCTGGCTCAGACAAAAGCAGGAGACCCTAGCTGAAAAATAACGAAAGCAAAAAGGACTGGGGGCATGGTGCCAATGGTAGAGCACCTTCCAGAAGGCCTGAGTTCAAACCCCAGTACCACCAAAAAAAATAATAATAAGGGCATGCAACATTTTATTAACTCGGCAACCATGGTGATGCTATAAGAGTGATGACTTGCCTAGTCACCCTGTGACTGCAGGCAGTGAAGTGACCTCTTACTACCCAATGGCTTTCCAGTGGCCACTAACCATCCAATGATCAGTGCCTTTGTGGACCCAGTGAGGCCCCATTTAGACCAACAGCAGCCGGATGTGCTGGTGCACACCTGTAATCCCAGCGCTGGGGAGGCTGAGGCAGGAGGGTCTCGAGTTCAAGGCCAGCTTGGGCTATGTAGCCAGACCCTGTCTCAAAACAACAAAAACAGCACCAGCAGCTGGGACCGAGATGGGCGGGGAGTGCCGGCTGGAGAGGGTAATGACCGTGTTAGCCACGGTGGGTTCTCAGTGGCCCGGCAGGTGACCGCGGCTCCTCCCATAGGTGTGGTACATGGATGGCTATTACAAGGGCCGGCGGGTCCTGGAGTTCCGCACTCTGGGCGACTTCATCAAAGGCCAGAACTTTATCCAGCACCTGCTGCCGCAGCCGTGGGCGGGCACGGGCCACGTGGTGTACAACGGCTCGCTCTTCTACAACAAGTACCAGAGCAACGTAGTGGTCAAGTACCACTTCCGCTCGCGCTCGGTGCTGGTGCAGAGGAGCCTGCCCGGGGCGGGCTACAACAACACCTTCCCCTACTCCTGGGGCGGCTTCTCGGACATGGACTTCATGGTGGACGAGAGCGGGCTCTGGGCGGTCTACACCACCAACCAGAACGCGGGCAACATCGTGGTCAGCCGGCTGGACCCGCACACCCTGGAGGTCATGAGGTCCTGGGACACCGGCTACCCCAAGCGCAGTGCGGGGGAGGCCTTCATGATCTGTGGCGTGCTCTACGTGACCAACTCCCACCTGGCCGGGGCCAAGGTCTACTTCGCCTACTTCACCAACACGTCCAGCTACGAGTACACCGACGTGCCCTTCCACAACCAGTACTCCCACATCTCCATGCTGGATTACAACCCCCGGGAGCGTGCCCTGTACACCTGGAACAACGGCCACCAGGTGTTGTACAACGTCACACTCTTCCACGTTATCAGCACCGCCGGGGACCCCTAGGTGCCTCCTCGGCTCATGCTGCCCCAGGAAGGCTGCTGGGGGTCCTGTCCTCGCTGCCTGTGTCCCTTCAAGTTTCTCTTGTCTCCATCCTTGCCCTCTCTCTCCCCCCCCTTCCTGTCTTTCCTTTTCTCTCCCCACCTTTCTGCCCGCCTTTTGTTCTCCCTCCCCCCCTGGATTTCTATCAATGCTTTTCTCAATTTTGTCTTTTCTTCTATTGATCTCTGCTTTTGATACGCTATTTCTTGGTCTTTCTGCCTTTTTATTGACATCCCTGTCTCTTTTTATTGATCTCACCCTCCAGTTCTCTCTCTCCCTTCTCCCTGCCCCCCCCTTTGCTTCCCACCCCTTCCTCCCTCACGCCTCCCCCCACCCGTGGAGTTGAGTGCATGGATCTCTTTTTTATTTACGCGGTTTCTTTCCGGATTGCCGGAATAAATGAGACCTTGGACATTTGACGCTGTGGTTGCTCTGTGTGTCTGATGGTGGCAGAGGTGGGAGTGGAGGTCAAGTCTCCACCCAGCCCCTCCATCCCCAGATTACAGCTTGGGGGGCGGGGCGGGTGAGCCCAGCATGGGGCGGACACCGGGGAATGCCCCTTTCTCCCTGGGCGAGCCCCTTAAGGACACAGGTGAGGAGACCTGATGCAAAGGTGCTTCGACCAAGGCAATTCGTTTAAAAGCAATTGGATCAAAACAAGCGAGAATTCTATTACGATGATGAAAATTGGCCTCAGATGAATATCCCGTCGCTGGCTTCTCACTCATCGATCACGCCGGTGCATTGCTGAGCTGTCTGGCAATGTTTTAATGGGTTTTTAACAATTTGGCTGCTTTTAAGAGTCTGGGTAGGAGAGGTTAGGGCCCCGCCGAATTTATCCTTTCTTCTTTTTGCTTTGTAATTTCAAAAACTGTTTTGAAACGAGTCATGCCTGTTCTGAGTTAATAACACGAGTCTGGAGACAGCAGGAAGGAAAGGGAAGGTGCAGTGAGCGCGGCCTGGCCTTCAGTCAAACCCCGCAAACCCTGCACACTTCCACACCTGCAAGGGACAGGGCAGGGACGGACATGGTGGCGGCCACAGCTTCTGGAGAAGGCCAAACAAAGACAGACCGGAGGCAGGAGAGAGGTGTGTGAGGGGGCCAGCCAAGGGGTCACAGAGCCTAAGAGTTCTGTCTAGCGTGACACAAGGTGTGTCTGGAGACTGACAGGCTGGAGGGATGAAGCTGGGACCAGCACGGTGTCACCCAGATGAGGGACAAGCTGGCAGGATTGCCAGAGGGGCGGGCAGAGCCATGGGGGCTGGGTTTCTCATCTGGAATGGAGGCTGGCACAGTAATGACCCCACCTCCATGGCGGCTCAATGGTGGTCCCCACTGAACGCAGGGCAAGAACAGCTGGCCCAGACCCCACCCCTCGAGGCCACAGGAAGGGTGCCGTGTCCCCACCTCTAATTAATGGCCTCCATGATTAAGTCATCTCCGGGAACACAGGGCCATATTGGGAAGGAAACCCATGAATAATTAATGGAGCTGCCTAATGTACTCATTTAAAACCAATTTTTAAAGAGATCCCTGAGAAGAGCAATTAATTTCCATATAAATGAGCAAGTGCGACATGCAGAAAAGGACAGATTCCTAGGTTAGCACAGGGAGGGGCACGGCGTGCACACCTGCTAAAAACACCAAACTAAGATGGCACAGGGCCGGGTGGCTGAGAATGGCTGATCCTCCCCGCCCCCCTCGCATTTCTCTGGGGCAGAGCTCTGAGTGGCCCCAATCTTCAGATGCCCAAGGTAAGGTCGGGACTAGAGGGCCATTGAGTTCCACAGACTTTGTCCCAAATACACTTGGGACCTGGGGACCCACATTCTAATACCAAGGGCAGGGTTGGCAGGGCTGACAAGGCCATGTCTGTTACATCTGAACTCCAGAGTCCTCAAACAGAAACCCAGAGGACCTGGCAACAACGGCCGCCTGTCTCTGTCCCCCCCCCCCCACCTCCCCACAGGCTTTTGTTCCAAAGTAGGATAAGTAAAAGGACTGACCTTCCCACCCCCCTCCCCGCCCCACCACACAGGATCACCTGTCTGAGGCTGTCCACTGCTGACTCATTGATTTACCCTGTATCTGGCTACAGCCAAGAAACTGCAACTCCTGCCCAGTGACAGTAATGCCAGGTCCTCTGTGGTCGCCTGCTCTAGCCCTGCCCGGTGGCTGCAGCACAGGGCAGACCAGGGGAAATCAACCCTCTGGGATGGGGCCTGCTCTGGGAGATGCCAGCAAGACATGCCCAGAAGAGGGCCAGGGTGCAGCTCAAGGGTACAGCAGGTGCCTGGCACGTTCAAGGCCCTGGCTTCCATCCCTAGCACCACAAGGAAAGGAAGAAAAAAAGCAATGAAGCAGATGGAAGAGGGCAGCTCTTCCACCCTGAGGGCCTGGGCAGGAGTGAGGTAGACACTGAGAGGGTTCTGGGGGCAACTTTAACAGCAGCGCTTTAGCTTGGGTTTTGGCCACTGTGCAGAGAGACCAGGGAAGGGGGAGGATGAGGCCCAGAGGGACAAGGTTGTCTCTCAGCATTGTGCGGGACAGAGACATCCAGGCACAAGGCCACGCACACTCTGAAAGCACACTCTGAAATGTAGATGCTCCCTGGTTTCAGGTTAGCGAGGACTCTGGGGAAAGGCTTCCCAGGTCCAAACCCTGGTGCTCCCTACAGCTCACTTCTTGTTCTCCCTGGCATTCCACTGGAAGGGGTGTGACTGCTCCCTGACCTATCCAAGTGTAGGTACAGACAGCACTGCTGCCTCTATACCCCCCACCCTCCTCCACCACAAACATTCTGCCTGGAGGTGCAGCCAACCAAGCCAACTCTGCCCAGCCTGCCAGAACCAGGAAGAAACTCATTAAACCTTCCTAATGACAAGTGCTCCAGCAGGTGGCTGACGGAGAGCAACTGCTCCACAAATAGGCCAGCTGAGCCCGGCTCAGGTGACTATAAGTCTCAGCCCTGTGGGGGAGGGTCCTCCAGGGTCCAGCTTTATTTTACTCAGGTCCACCCCCACTATCCAGGCTGGTCTCCAGAGAGTGTTATCACTTCATCTAAGACCCACAAGCCCTGAATGAATGCTGAACCCCAAGCCCAAGCCTGGCCCAGAGGTTGCTGTGGGGAAGTGATATGGGAGGGCTGGCACCCAGAGGCAGGAGAGCCCACCTCCCCCAGCTACCTGAAAGTGGGCTCCCCCAGCTACCTGCCACTGGCTGACATCCCCTAGGGTCTACCACAGACATGAGGCTGCGTTTCCTCCTGAGACCCCTTCAGGATCCCTGCTCTCAGAGGTGCTGGCAGTAGCCCTCTCCCCTCCAGGCTGGGGGAGCCTCTGTTGCCATGGTAGCAGCATCTGCAGAGGGTGCTGGTCTGGTGGCTGTGGCTAGACCCAGGAACTGGCAGAAATGCTGGCATTCTGGGCAGGGCCGGGATGTGGCACGGAGGGTGGCCTTTGTGTGCAGGGCCCAGGGCATGCAGGGAGCACCCATTACCAAAGGCCCCGACCTCGCTCTCCCAGGTTCCCCACTGATCATGCCAGGTGGGGCAGGGCCCTGTATCCGGGAGGGCGCGGCACCCTGGGGTTGTCTCATGGTGTGGGGAGCTGGAGTACCCCAAGGGGCCCTGCCAGGACCCACAGGTCCAGGAGAAGGGGGGCTTCTGAGGCAGCAAGAGCAGCTTGGACACCTGGGCGTGTGGGCCATCAGTCAGTGATCCCCTCCCCACCTCCTTGGGAGGAAATGAGACCCAGGCTCAAGAGCAGTGGTTCAGGTTTGGGTTTAATTGCGGGTGCAGAGAGTGCAGCACTGCTGCCCAGAGGCCCGTGCCCACACCCAGTGTCTGCTTTTTGCAACTGAACAGGGGAATGGGCTGAACGAGAAAAAACTCTAGGCCCTCCTGGCTGTCTCTGGGACATGGAGGACAGGCCACCCCACTCCCCTGGGGCTGGGAACCTCCCTGTCCCTGCTGCCCTTCTGAAGTTTCCTTCAGGGGGAGTCTGGCAGAGACAGCCCCAACTGCAGGAGGACAGGGAGCAGGAATCCCAGAGCCCCCATCTTGAAGAGCCCCCCTCCCAGCCGTTTTGGGAACAATAAATACTGTGTGGCGGGTGCAGGGAGGAGCCAGGAGCCCCTTGGTGCAGCCCTGCAGGCCAGGCCTGGCGCCCACAGCCCTCACTCCGTGCGCAGGATGATGTGGATGCCGGAGTCTGTGAACACGGGCCCGCTCATCTCCCCCGTCCGCAGCGCAAATGAGGCATCTTCAAACGGCTTCTGCATCTGACCTGGGGACCGAAAGGGGTGGCGGGGAGGAGGGGGTCAAGCATTGTTGGCAAGGTCAGGCAGGCAGCCTTGGCAGATGGGGCTCAGTCTGTGCCTGCCTTACACTCATTCATCACCGAATTTATAGCCCTGTCACAGGGCTGAGCTGCGGCCCAGCTGGGGGTGGCAGGGCCATTAAAGAGGCCCTGGGAAGCTGGAGGACAGCATGAGGGATAGCAGGCAGAGCCACCACCACTGCTGTGCTTACAGCCGCATTTTAGTGACGACTCTCCCTGGGCCTGTTTCCCCCCACCCCCAGATCATCTGTCTCAGTCTTCACTGGCTGCCCCTCCTGGACTCCTCTCTGACACCCAGCAGCCGGAGGAGGAAGAGGCTGGTTCCTCAGCTCCCCATCTCCTCTGCCCCGGCCAGAAGGGCCTAATTTTAAGACTGCCCATCTGACACGCCTCCCCTCACCACTGGGTTCCCCTCCTGCAAGGTGGGCAGCAGGACTCTGGGGGACAGGCCCTGGCACTCCTAGGAATCCACCTTCAGCCCTCGTGGAGGCGATGCCAAGGACAACAGAGCTGCCTTGCTTGGTCCGCTATGGGAACTGTGCAGGCAGACCATGACCCCAGGAGGGCAGGACACCAGAGACTGCCCCCATCTTGTTCCAGCCTCACAAACAGGGCAGCCCTGTCACCTGAGGGTGGGTTGTGCTGCCATCTGGCGGGCTGAGAAGGCCTGCAAGGCAGAGGATGCTTCTTCCAGAGAGCCAGGCGGCCCCTCCCAGCCTCACTGCCCCCAGGGTGGTGCCCACCCCTGCCCACCTCTGCTGAAGGCACCCAGGTCTCCCCTGGCCTTAGCTGAGCTGCAGTCGCTGAACTGTGAGGCCAGAGATTCAAAGTCCTCCTCTCCTGACTTGATCTTCTGGATATAACCTGTGGGGACAGAAGAGGAGAGCCCCAGTGGTGGCCAGACAGGGTGGAGGGGAGGCTGCTCTTCAGGAGTGTGCAAGCCCCTCACCAATGCGCACCCCTCCCCACATGTCCACATTTTCACACCTTCTCCCTGCACCTGAATGTGGAAGTCACTCCTGTCCAGACATTACATAGGGCCACCAAGATGTGCCTTCCATATTTGTGTACCAGGGACCCAAGCCTGTCATATAACCCCACACCTGTGTCCTATAGTGACCTCCACAGCCAGGTGAGTTGCCTGTTGTCACTCTCTCTCCCTAACACTCACGGACAATGTAAGCCGTTCCCCGCCCCAGGCCTGGGACACAGAACTGAGAAGCCTCCCCCCAAGCCCCGACAGGCAAGAGGAGCTGAGACTCAGGAGGGTCACCAGACCCCATAGCAGGAGGCTTCCCCCCGCCACAGTCTCAGGGTCCAGGACAGGCAGGCCAGGGTGCAGCCCAGCTCTGCAACGGAGCTGGCCCAGTCCTCAGCTGTGGGCCTCGGCTGTCCCACCTGTGGGATGTGGGAGGTACAGCTGGGAGCTAACTGGGACATTGGGAGGAGAGCCTGAGGTGGCCCAGGTGGGGCTGCAAGGGAAGTCAGTCAGTCCTGTGCACATAGGCCCCACAGGCAAGCCACAGGCTGGCTGACAGAGCCCCAGACAGACCCACCCTGGCGGCCCAAAGCAGTCCCACTGGGCCAGGACTCTCCTAGAGGGAGGAAGGTGGAGGAAGGTTGAGGGAGGGAGCCAGGGCAGAGGGAGGAAGACAGCAACACCCAGCATTGGTGACCTTTTTCAGGAATGGAGCATGGAGGGTTGTGTGTCTGCATATGTGTGTGTGTGTGCATGGCATGTATTGGGTAGGTCTCCAGCTGCCTTCCTGAAGTAGGCAGGCTCCTCTCTCGGCTCCTCCTGGGGCTCACAGGGCAGTAGCCTGGCTTGGGAGCAGTCTCACAGCAGGCTGGGCCTGTAGTTTTCCTGATTGGCCTGGTGGCTGCTCCCAGGGTGCACAGGGGTCACACCCACCCTGCCTGGCTGCCTGAGCGATGGGCACACATCCATGGTGGTTTCTTCGTGGCTTTCTGAGACCATCTCGCTCTGTAGCCCAGGCTGTCCTGGACCTTGCAATCCTCCTGCTTCCACCTCCCAAGGGCTGGGTTACAGTTTCCAGATGTGAAGGTGGGCTTTGTGACATCACCCTCACGCTTCCATCTGACCCACACGAGGCTTCCCTACACACACCTGTTGCTCTACCTGGTATAAACGTCACTGATACACCCATCCAATGCCTGTTTGAGCCCCTGGGAGACATCACTGGTTAATGTAACTGGTGCTGTGAGGCCCAGACACCTGGCCTAGGTCTATCTGACACTGGGCTGAGTCAAACTTCCCAGGGGCCTCACCACTGCCTGTCTGACCAGTCTTTTGCTTCCCATCCTGACCATCAGGTGCACAGTGTCCTGCACTGTGTGCGACCTTGATGAACATAACTTGCCATCACTGTTCTCCCTGCCGTGTGGAAGCTGTGTGGCCCTGGGACATAGCTGCCCCCTTGCTCCACCCATCACAGGCATCCCAGTCTGACCTGGCCAGCACGAGGCCCTGGCCTGCCCGGCCCTGTCAAAACAAGCACCTCCTGCTTGGTCTGTGTGTCACAGTGGTTTCAGTGTTCTTGAACACTCTGGTCTCAGTGAAACCCACCTCAGGGCTGATAGTGGGTCCACTGGTGCCAAATGCACCCATCAGAGATACTGACCTACCTCAGACCTTTTTAGGTCACCTCTCTTGCTGCTCTTTTCCCTGGACTCCCAAGTGTCTCCCCAGCCTCATTCATGAAACCCCGAAATCGCCCCCTGCTCTCTCTTGTGTAGACCACAGTTGATCAGACAAGGAATCCTGACGGCATAGAGTCCCAGGGCACCTGCCTGGCCCTGAGCAGAACCATGGCAGGTACCCAGCACCCACAAAGGCAGGCCCAGCCTCAACCCTGAACAATAATCACCTTGTTGCAGCTCCCAGCAGCTGGCACCACAAGGTCCCTGAACTGGATAGCCCAGGGTCTCACACACATGCACAGTATGCAAGCCATATCCACTTAAAAATGAGTAAGAAGCTGAACATGATGAGGCATGCCTGCAATCCCAGCACTTGAGAGGCTGAGGCAGGAGGCTCATGGATTTGAGGCCAGCCTGGGCTGCATATTGAGACCCTGTTTCAAAAAAATAAAAAGAGAAGGAAAGAAAAAGAAAATAGAGTAAGAGCCATGCCACAGCACGTCACCCAGATTGGTCTCTGACCAGCCAGCATTGGTAGAAGACTCTGCTTTTTTTTTTTTGCAGGTTTGAACTCAGGGCTTCTCACTTGCAAAGCAGCACTCTATCACTTGAGCCACACCTCCATTTTGCTCTGATTAGTTTGGAGGTAGAATCTTGTGAATTATTTGCCTGGGCTGTCCTTGAACTATGAGCCTCCCTATCTCAGCCTCCCAAGTAGCTAGGATTATAAGCATGAGCCACTGGTGCCTGGCTGACACTCTGCTTTGATATGAGCCTGAAAAGACATTTTTAGAAACTGCATTCTTCCTGAGTTCTCCTTGAGTAATCAAGGCTGACCTTCAAGAGGTCTGTTCCCATGTGTCTCCTCAGCTCAGTCAGTACCTGTCCCCAACATGATGGTGCTCCTCCTACTCTCCCTACCCCCCACCTCCAGACATCTGCCTGTGTCCTCTAGTCTCTCCCACAGCCTCTTTAAGCACCTCGAACATGAGGTGCCCCAGGGGGATGCATTACCACTGTCCTGTTTGTGCATATGTGGAGGACAGGGGCCAGGCACCTTTGTTCATATGACTGCCCCTCATCCAGCACTATGCACAAAACTGGTGTCCCCTGGTGTTCAAGGACGTCATGAAAAATGAGACAGAAATAGGCAGGGGAAGGAGGGAGTCAAACCCATGACTGGTCTTGACACAGAGGCACTGGAGTCTCCTGCCTTTCTTAGCTCAATCTCAGGACTTACACTAAGGTCAGACATCCTAAGCCTCCTCCAGGATGAAGCCTGCTTACCAGCCAGCCATTAAACCCTCCCCAAGATAGCGCCCATCCAAAAAAGAAAAAAAAAAAAAACCATGTGTGGATGTAATCCCAGCACTCAGGACGCTGAGGCAGGAGAATCATAAGTTCAAGGCCAGTCTGGACTGCACAGTGAGACCCTGTCTCAGAAAAACAAAATGAAAATGAAAAAAAGACAATGCCTATCAAACTTGATCAACGGGACTCCAGTCAGGGGTCTAGCTGTGAACAACAGATTAGGCCTCTCCAGTCCCCATCTGGAGCAGGGGTCTTCCACCTGCCTCTGCTATCAGCAATGCCAGCCTGCTCAGGGCACATCCTCAAGGCCAAGGAGGGCAAGGGTTTCCAGAGCCTACCTCTGCTCTCCAATTGCTGGGTCCAGACTCCAGCTCTGTCACTCCTGAGCTCTGTGAGCCTGGTAGGTGACAGCATCCTGGAGTTTCACTTGACTGGCCTATAAAGTGGGGTAACAGGAGTTCCCACCTTGGAGGCTGTTCTGAGGATTAAATAATTAGCACAGACCTGTGCTCATTTCTGTGAGCTTGACAGAAATGAGCTGCTATGGGCTGAATGCTATGCCCTGCCCCCCCCCCAACAAATGCATGAAGCCAGGCCCCTTAGTGCGATTGCATGCAGAGACAAGGCCTTCAATGAGGTAATGAAGGCTAAATGAGGTCATAAGTGTGGGGCCCGATATGACAGGATTAGTGTCCTTATAAGAAGACTCATGTCAGGGATTGTGGTGCATGCCTGTAGTAGAGAGACTGGGAAGGAGGATCACTTGAATCCAGGAGTTCAAGGCTAGTCTGGGAACACAGAGATCCGATCTCAAAAAGAAAAAAAAAAAAGAAACACCATACAGATAGGAAAGCCATGAGGGCAAGCAAGGGCCTGTGTGCAGGCCAAGAGATGCCTCGTTAAGACTCTGGCTAGAACCTGATCTTAGACTTTCAGCCTCGAGAACTGTGAGAAAAGAAATTTGGTCACTTAAGTCACCTAGTGTGTGGCATTTTGTTCTATTAGCCTGAGCTGATTTCCATAATGACTTAAGGGAAAACGAGGGAACCAAATGGGTGGTCTCTGACCCTAAAAAGGTGGCGAGACGACCCACATGTCCTGTCCCACCAAATCAATAGGCTGCTTCAAGGCCACAGACACCCAGGAAGGGGTGTCAGTGAAAGAGGTGACAGGATTTGTCTGCCATCCCAGCAAACCCAAGATCCAGCAAGAGAGACCCAGAGACCTGGCTTGAGACTAGCAGGCTGAAAGGGTGGCATCAGGCCACAGGAACTCACTGTCCCTCAGACCCTGTGAGAAAATTGATACTTGTATACTGCGTCTCCCCAGGATCCTTGTGGGGAGAAAGGTGAGGCAGTGGTGAGGGGGGAGCCTGGGCAAGCAGGGGTGTGCAATGGGGAACAGGAAGGAGGCCTTTCAGACAAGGACACTGGCAATGACACTGGGCCAGGCCTTGTGTTATTGACAACCCCTGGCCTCAGCCCAGAGACTGCAGAGGAACTGATGCTGGGCAAAGGAGCCTGGATAGCACTGGGAGATGCTGGATCCACTGCAGGCAGCCTGTCCAGAGGGACAGGCCAGAGATAAATAGGCACTGGTGATACGAGCTTATTAGTTGGAGCCTGAACTTGGATTTCTGACCTGCAGAACTGTAAGGAAAGAAATTTTCATTATTTCAGCCTCCCAGTGTGTGGCACTTTGTTACAGCAACCTAAGTTAATTAGCATAATTACTTAAAAAAAAGCAAATGAATCAAAGGGTGGTCCCTGACCCTAAAAATGTATAGAGACAACTGACCTGCAATGTCCCAAATCAATAGGCTGGGCACCTGCCAGCTGGGGCTGGCGCCACCCAAGCCATCTCCGCCTGATCATCTGGAACAGGCCCAGGCCCAAGGGAGGACAGCCATGGTCCAAGGAGGAAAACCAGGCCTGAGAGCCAGTGGTCAGTGACATGGTGCTTGAGACTATGGCTACCAAGATGGCCTGGCCGGGCCACCTCCCTGTGCCCTCCTAATGACTCCAAGATCCTGCCTCTGCTGGACTCAGGTAGGAAGCTGAGGCTGGACTTCATGATCTAAGGTAACCAGCTGGTCTGGCTGAGTCCAGCATGGTTCCCCATCGTTGCCCAGAGCTCATTCCAGGGGCATGGCAGGGGAGGGCAGAAAGGGCTGCCTGTGAGCCCAGGCCCTGTCTCACTGTTTCCGCCAAGTAGAAAGCAAGTGGCAACTACTGAGGCTGCTGTTCACGGATCCTCTCACCCTGTTCTACACATGTGGCAACTGACGCTCAGAATGAACACACTTGCTTGAAGCCACACAGCTGGCACCAGGCTGGGCCCCGGTCACTCTGACCTTATATCACCTACTCTTGAACACCTGGTCCTTGCCCACTCCCTATCACTGAGTCCTCCTGAATCTTCTAGAATCCATGGCCCCCCAAGTTCAAGTCACACTGCGTCACACTGCAGTCACTGCCACGGCTCCCATGGGGCCCTGCAGCAGGTGCTGGGACTCCTGCTCATGTTCCTCAACCTGTGTCCACTGAAGGTCAGGTTGAGGGCCCCACTGCCCACTGGGAGCACCCAGACATCCCTAAGAGTCCAGCTGACCTCAGCCCCCCATACCCTACCACAGTGGCAGCCCACCAGCCATGCCCTGCCATTCTTGAGCCAGGGAAGTACCTCACCTGCCTCACCCAGGCCTGTGCCCTGCTCACTGTCCTTGCTTGCCTCAGCCTCCTGCCACCCCTCACTGGGGCACCTCCACTACTGTGTCTGCCTCCAGCCTGACTACTCTGCTGAACCCCAGGTGCCCACTGTCTCTTCCTCAGCCTGAGCTACTTAATGAGCACTCTCTACTGGAGATGACTCTACCTCTGGATGACCATTTCTTCTTGTTAGATTTTTTTTTTTTTTTTTGTGGTACTGGGAATTGAACTCAGGGCCTCCACCTTGCCAGGCAAGTACTCTAATGCTTAACTATACCCCTGCCCTTTTGTTTTAGAGACAGGGTCTCACTCACTTTGCCCAGGCTGGCCTCAAACTCACCATCCTCCTGCCTCTGCCTCTCAAGTAGGTGGGATTACAGGTGAGTACCACCATACCCATCTCCTCTTGTTCACCCTTAGGCCAGGAAGGGTTCCAGGGACCACTAGGGCTGGGAGGCTCCAAGAGGAGCCTCCATGATCCTCCACAACTTCCCTTATTGCTCCATCTGGGCTCTGAATGTCTGGCTTCCCTGGCCCTGCACATTCCAGCCACCCAGATTTTTCCCGAAGGTCCAGCACCACTGGGGCTCTCCCCTGGCCCCACATAGCCACATGTCCTGCTGTCTTCAGGAAAGACTTGACCCTGTCACCTCACACACCCCCTCCTCAGCCCTTGAAGTCTTGCCCCAGCCACTCCAGCTCTAGCCTCTGCACAGCCTTGTCCTCTGCCCAGCGTCCTTGCTTCCCACTGGCTCATGAAACAAGCTGAGAGGTGACTTGGGACCAGACTGTATGGGAAGGACAGATGCAGCCCCTGCCCTTGAGAGGCTTGGGAGTCAATGAATTGGCTTTTCAGACAAGCTAAGAGAGCATTTACTGTGCCACCACGCCAGGGGTGGTGGTGGTGGTGGGGGTGTGTGTGTGTGTGTGTGTGTGTGTGTGTGTGTGTGTCTGTGTGTGTCTGTGTGTGTCTGTGTACATGTGAGATAGCCTTCGGGCCAGTACCAAATCCAGTGATGGCCAATACTGACTAAAAATACGATTCTGGCCAGGCCCTGTGCTACCAGCAACAAATATGACACCACACCACAGCTACTGCCATTAGAACATTCACTAGATCCCGGTGGCTGTTAATGTTAGGCTGTATTCAGTCCTTCCCATTACCCTACAAGGTGGGGCCTATCACTAAAACACTGATTGTTACAAGTGAAAATAACTGAAGCTCAAAGGTGTTAAGTAATTCATCCAAGGTCAGGACCTGGCAGAGACAAATGTTGCCCCAGACTATCTGGGGTTGTGTGGGATAGGAATGGTCTGGGGACTCTGCTGAGAAAGGCCAGGGATAAGACTGAGACCAGCACAGTCTGACAGAACTTCCTGAAAGAATGGAAATATTCTGTATTCCCACTTTCAGAGATGGTATCCACCAGCCACATGTGGCTTCTGAACATATAAAGTGTCACCACTGCAACTGAGGAAGCAGTTATTTATTTATTTATTTACTTTGGTGGTACTATAGTTTGAACTTAAAGCCTCATGCTTGCTAGGCAAATACTCTACCACTTGAGCCACTCAACCAACTCTTTTTTGTGATGGGTTTTTTCAAGATAGCCTTGTGAACTATTTGCCCAGGCTGGCTTCCAACAGCAATCCTCCTGATCTTTGCCTCCTGAGTAGCTAGGATTACAGGCACGAGCCACTGGTGCCAGTTCCAATTTTTAATTTCACTTAATTTTAATTAACTTAAATGGAAACAGCCACACATAGGAAATGGTGGCCATAAACCAGGGTTCTTCCAACTACAGCCCGCAGGCCAAATTCTGCCTGGCTTTGGAAACAGTTTTATTGGCACACAGTCACAACTATATGTTTATACAGTGTCTGTGGCTGCTATGGAGTTACAAGATAGAACTGACAGAGATTGTACGGCCCACAAAACCTAAAATATAACTATGTGGCTTTTATTTATTTTTTGCAGCAGTACTAGGGATTGAACTCAGGGCCTGGCACATGCTAGGCAAGTGTTCTACCACTTGAGCCATGTCCCCAGCCCCCATGTGGCCTGTACAGAAAAAGCTCTGAATTACAGTGGACAACCACTGTCATCAGGTCAGAGTTAACTCATCAACTCTGATGGCTGGCTCTGTGCCTCACACTTCCCTGCCCTGTCTCTGGACCCACAATGTGTTCCTGGCCCCTCCTTGATGACAGTACTGTTCAGAAAAGCTTCCACTGACTGACAAACACTGGGAGCCACATGCTGCCTTGCCTTACTGAATTTCCATTACAGCCCTTGGATTCAGGTATATCATGGGACCATTTTACAGAGGAAAATCTCGAGAAGGCCAGACAAGTCTCCAAGGTCACAGAACTCACTAGCCACTGGTACTATCAAAACCCAGGTGGGCCAGCAGCCCAGGCCGGGTTCTCTATCCCTACCTAGCTCACCCCAAATGGCAGGTAAAAAGCAAAGAGAGGACCAGGTGTGATGGTACATGCTTATAAACCCAGTTACCCTGGAGGTGGAGGTAGGAGGATCCAGGTCTGAGGCCAGCCTAAGCAAAAGCATGTGACCCTTCCAAAAGACAAACTAAAAGCCAAAAGGGTTGAGGGCTCAAGGGTAGGGCAACTGCCTAACAAATATAAGGCCCTGAGTTCAATCCCTAGCACTGCCAGACTGAAAAAAAAAAAAGAGAGCGAGCAAGGTGGCTGTTTGAACCAAACTCATGTCAAGTATGGGTACTTCTGTTTGGACCAACTCCATGCCTGACAGCTGAGCAGGCTGGGGTGAAGGGTCTGCTGTGACTTCTACAAGGCCCACTGAGAGAGGACCCCACCCCCAAAGACCCTGTCCCCCACCCTGCTCACCATTGATCAACTCCAGGGCCTCCTCCTTGGTCCGGGTGATCTTCTCCTGCCGCCAGGATGAGGGTCGCCTTGACTGGCTGTGCTTCACCAGCAGGTGTGAGCAGCGGACCCTGGCAGGCTCCCCTTGCCCATTTTTGCTGCTGCTGCTACTGCTGCTGTTGCCACTGGGCCGCTCCCATTGGCTAGCGTTGGTGATGTGATTGAAGTAGTAGACCCGGCCTGAGGGGAGGGCAGGTAAGAACTCAGTTGGGGCTGTGCTCAGGGGGCAGAACCCTGGGTTTCCGACCAGAAGCCAGGATAAGGGACTGGTTTGTGAGATGCCTTCATTCAGTAAACCCACTTCATGTCCACCATGTGCCACAGGCTCTGCAGACACAGATCAACATGGAGGGTCACAGTCCCTGACACTACAGAACCAACACGCTAGGTAAAGTTTACCTAGGAGGTAAGATAACAAGGCAACTTCTGTCATTGACACAGTAGAGAAGAAAACAAGTCAGGGATGGAGAGGAAGCCAGGAACAGGGAGTGGCCTGAGTTCAAATCTGCCTAAACCTCTTACTCTGTGATTTACCTTCCCTGGGCCTCAGTTTTACTACCTATAAGAGACAACAGTACCTGCCTGTAGGGCTGCTATAAGGACTGAATAAGTTTGTACATCTGTAAGATGCTTAGGACAGAACTGCAGCTTCTATGTGTGTGTGATGGGTTTTTTCGAGATAGGGTTTTGCAAACAGTATGCCCAGAATGTCTTCAAACCTCAATGATCTGATCTCTGCCTGAGATGTCCTGATCTCTGCCTCCTGAGTAGCTAAGATTATAGGCATGAACAAGCAGCATCTGACTAGAACTGCAGCTTCTATTATCTCCACTGTGCAGAGGCTACACCTCCTGCATCTCAGACAACAGCGGCAGCAGGTGATGTTTCCTGCACATGTACTCTGCAGCAGGCATACACAGAGGCCCATAGGAACTGAACTCAGGTAGGACACACTCTAAAAACTCTGCTCTTCTCCCTACCTGGTGTCCTGGGTTAGAAGGGCAATGTTACCCAAGCTGTGGGGAGCATGAAGGAGTGAGACTGCAAAGAAGCTTGAACGAAGGACCCAGAATATTCTGGGTGTCACTCTAAAGGCTGGGAGTAGGCCTGGGTTATATGGTGGACCTAACACTGTAAAGAGCTGGGTGGCACCCACAAAGAAGGCAGTTAGGGTCCTGCTGAGTAGAAGTGGGAAGAAATGGGCCCAGAGCTGGGCACAGCATCAGGGTTTTTTTGTTTTGTTTCTGAGAGCAGGCTGACCTCGAACTCACAATCCTCCTGCCTCAGCCTTGTGAGTGCTGGGATTACAGATATACCCTAGCTGAGCGCATCGGGTTTATGTTGGGGTCACAGCCACAAGCCAAGACTGGAGCAGGTTAAGCAAACCAGTAAATAACTCTAAAACCTTAGCAATGGCTCTAGCTCCCTGAGCCCCCATCTTCTCATCTGAAAAATGGGGATGCGAAAATAAGAGCATGGAACCTAGAGAGAGTAATGTGGTAGTCAATGTTTGCAACGTGTTCACCAGAGCACATGATGCTCAATAAATAAGAATTATTACTGCGACTGTGACTATTATGGGCTCTGGAGGCAGCAGAGTGACCCTGGACCAACCCAGAGATGCTGGCCTGCTTCTCAGGCGTTGGCAGTGACACCTGAAGTGGAAGTGGACTCTGAAGACAGAATGGCTGGGATCTAACCCAGTCCCCAAGTCCTGAAATGCGTGATCTGGATGGGTTCCAAAAGTGCAGGCACCTCAGTCTCCTCACTTATAAAATGGGAGACAACTACCTACCTCCCACAGTTGCGGCAATTCAGAGAGAGAACTTAAAACACTTCAAGCGCTTGGCACGCGGCTTGGCGCAGAAATAAACATGCCCAATCATTAGCGCCATTATTTTGGCAAACCCTTCAGTCCGGCCCCAAGCACAGGGGGTGCAATATCGCAGATTCAGCAGTAGGTGTGGATGGCAGCGGTGTTACCGGGTAAATTGTGGAGCTCTGGCCATTCAACATTCTGGACCACGCCCTTTGCACTGTACTGGGGTGACCTCTTCCCTGGAGGAACCCCCAGGCCCAGCGGGGTGCAGAGACTTCCCCAGGGGCATCAGTTGCATTTAGGCCCAGAGGTCTCAGCCGGCCGGTGGGACCAAGACCATCGCCCAGGGGAGAGACACGACCTCCCCAGCCCCTCTCCCGCCCCCTGCCTCACTTTCCCTGGCACTCAGCCCGCACAACGCGGGCCGGGGCCGTTACCCCGGGGACGACGCGGAGGAGGCAAGACCCTGTGGGAGGAGGCGGCGGTACCACTGTGCCCGAGGGGACAGCTCGAGCCCTGCTTCTGCGGGCTCGCGCGGCCCCGCCCCAGCCCCGACCCCCGCGGCACCTGAGCTGCGGCTCATGCGCTTCTCCCATCCGGGCGGCAGCTTCTCTTCGTCCGCCATCTTCCTCCTACCGCAGCGCCGGCTCCGCCTCCGCCGCACCGCCAGTCGCCCGTACCCGCCCACCACCACAGCAGATTGGCTTGTCGTGTCCCGCACCGGGGCCTGGTGGCAACGCTTATTGGACAACTCAACCGTCCCAACTGGCTCTCTAGCTCTCTATTGGACAGGAGCTAGGGAGGGTGTATCCACCCACGGTTTACCTGGGGCCCGCCTCCGGTCGGCCTCACCCAGGCCACGCCCCTTTCCTCTTCTCAGCTTTTAAGTGGTGCGAAAGGGATGCGAGCCCGCCCTTTCAACGCCCTTTGCGAGCGCCAAAAAAATCCCGACTCCTTCTTGGCGCTCTTAGTCAGAGCCCGGCGGGATAGAATAGCGCTTCTTGATTGGCTACTGTGGCTGCGTATCCCGCCTTCCATACAGAAGCGTAGAAGTAACCGCGGCTGACTAGCTAACGAGGAGATACTGCCTTTGCTGTTGTCATAGCAACACAGTTGCCTTGGTGATGGGTAGCTAGGTGTTCAAAGCCTAAATTTGGCTCCTTTCTCTCTCTTCCTTTTTCCTCCAGATGTCCAAAGCTAACCTAGTTCCTTTTGTTTTTTTACAGGGCTAATCATGTCCGTATGCCACTGACCCAAGACACTTTTCGTTTCTTTTGGAATCTACTTATTCCCCGTTCCTGGGTGACTGGTGGGTGATGGCATTGCCACTCGGATGAGAACACGGAAGGATGCGCGGGTGGGTGCTCAATTTAAGCCAATTTAAAGTTACAGAGCCCGTGGAACACTGAGGAGGTAGTTGAGACACTGAACTGTGGGCTGGAGAAAGATGTAAGAGCCCAAGACAGAGACAGGGAAGCATTCAATTGCAGTTCGTCTACAGCATGGTCCTTATGTGACTGTTAAAAAGAATGAGGCTCAGTGACATGAACTCTGGAAAACACGATTAGAAGCAGGGCGAGGTAGGTTATGCGCACTCTGGAGTCAGACTAGTGAGATTCAAATCCTTGCTATAATCTTGAAAAAATTACTTCTCGGCTTTAGCTTCTCCAAGTGCAAAGTAAACATAAACAGTACTACACACCTCTTCTGTTTTATGTCAAGACTAAAGAGTGATCCGTATAAACAGTGTCTGGCCCATACAAGGATAGGTGTTAGCTGGTATTTGTTAGGTGAAAATCCAAGTACCACGGAGCAATTATGCATGAAAGTGTAACAAAACATCAATAAAGAAAACTAAAAAGAGTGAGTGGATACTTGTGGAAAAATGTCCGTTATAAATTATAAAAAGCAAGCTGCTGAACGCTATTATTAAAGTATGTATAATTATCTTAATTGTGTAAGAACTGTACTTTTTTTTTTTTTTTTTTGAGATAGGGTCTTGCTTTGTAGTCAAGGCTGGGATGCAGTCCATAGCCCAAGCTGGTCTTGAATTCAAGATCCTCTTGCCTCAGTCTCCCAAGTCCTGGGATCTAGGTGCATGTCACCAAGCCTGGCTCAAACTGTAATTTTGTTGTTGTTGTTGGCACTGGTGTTTGAACTCAGGACTCACACTTGCTAAGCAGGTACTCTACCACTTGAGCCATTTCTCCACCCCCTTTTGTGTGTGTGTGTTGGGTATTTTTAAGATAGGATCTCCCTAATTATTTGCCCCGCTGGCTTTGAACTGAGATCCTCCTGATCTCAGCCTCCTGAGTAGCTAGGATTACAAACCTGATTATATCACAGAAACTCTCTGGATTCCTTAAAATGTTAATTTCTATCACCAGTGATACTGGTGAAGGAAGAAATGAGGAACTTGATTTTATACAACATTTTGATTTTTATAAGCATGTGTTAGCATATCCTTTACTGTTTAAAAACAATTTTAGACATAGAGCAGATTTGCAAAAGTAGTAGCGTTTTCATATACCTTTTACCCAGCTTTACATCAGCATCTTACATAATAAAAGAAGAGAGGCTCTCAACCAGGATCAATGTTGTTCCCCAGGGGACATGTGGTCATGTCTTAAGATATTTTTGGTTGTCACAAATGAGAGGAAGGATATACTACTATACTACTGGCATTTAGTGGGCAAAGGTCATCGATGCTGCTAAACATACTACAATTCGCAGGACAGCGTGCACAATAAATCATCCAGCCCAGGGCTGGGGTGTGGCTCAGTGTTAGAGGGCTTGCCTAGCTTGCACGGATCGTGGATTTGATCCCTACACAATAACAAAGAAAAACAAAATCCCTCTCCACTGCCCTTTTATAGAAGGAGAAAAATCCAAACAAATCAGTAAAAAGTATTCATTAAAAAGAATGAGAGAGACAATTTATATAATGATATATGATCAAGACATAAAGCACAAAAAAAGCAAGTTGCTGCCAGCCTCCCAGTACTCATGCCCACATGAGCTGACTGGGAGGCTGAGATCAGGAATAGCACATTCCAAGACCAGCCCAGGAAAACAGTTCATGAGATCCCATCTCCAAAATAACCAGAGCAAAATGGACTGGAGCTGTGGCTCAAGCAGTAGAGTACCTGCTTTGTAAGCATGAAGAGCTGAGTTCAAACCCTGGTCCCACAAGAACAAAAAAAAAGCAAGCTGCTGAATGGTAACGAGTATTAACAAAATGTATAACTACCCCCTACTGTATGGAAACTCTTAGTTCCCATTTCAGAAAATCCTTAGACTCATTTGAATACGTTAATGATTGCCACTGGCAGAAGTGATGGTATAAGAAACTAAAATTTTAACAAAACTTTTAGATTTTTTATAAGCACATATTAGCATAGTCATCTTGTGTATATGTTGGGGATTGAACCCAAGGCCTCTGGGACGTACTGTACCACTGAGCTACACCAGCCCCTAGCATGGTCATCTTTTCAAAACCAAACTGAAGTTATATAAATGCATTGCAAAAGGCTTAGCCTCAGGAGAATGGGTGAAGAAGGGTTTTACCTTTGGCCTATACACTTCTATGCTGATTTGAAATGAAAGAATCCCTCTGTTAAATCTGTCATGGAATTTTAAAAACTTTTTCTCATTTTAAGCTTCCTGCCATAGCTGGAATGACAGGCCCATGTCTGCTGAGACAGGGTCTTGAAAAATTTTTTGCCCTGGCTTGCCTGCAACCACAATCTTCCTCAAAGCCTCCCAAGTAGCTTGGGATGCCAGATGCACACCCAGACCCTAAGACAGGTTCTCATGAGTGACTTGCCTGGGTCAGACTTGAACTTCAGTCTTCCAGATCTCAGACTCCCAAGGAGCTAGGATAACAGGCCTCAAACACTGGCACCTGGCTGAGGAAAGACATTTCTGACATATCAAAAGGAAGGGGATAAAGATTTTTAATGAACACAGGAAAAAAAAAAAAAAGAGGAAGGGGAGTCCTAGGATAGGAGAGAAACCACAGGCATGGGCTGGAAAGTGACTCATGGAGGCCAAAGAGCGACCACTCTTAATGAGCTACAAGCCAGCAGCATCCGAGGTCCAATTCCCAAGAAAGGGAGGCAGAGGCTGGGTGGAGCTTGGGGGAGGGGAAGAGTAGTGGCCTAGACTTGGCCATGTTCATGTATATAGGAGAGAGTGGATGAATGAGGCTTGGGAGAAGGGCTCAGAATGAGGCCAGGCCCAGGCTCCTCTCCTGATGTGTGAGAAGACACGGCAAGGTCAACATCACGATATGTGGCCAGGAGAAAGGTGAAACATTTGGCCTCCTGTTTATTCGAGCCTGGAGGAAAAAACTGGAGACAAATAACACTATAGTGGGCCGGAGGTGTGGCTCAAGTTGTAGAGCACCTGCCTAGCAAGTGCAAAACCCTGAGTTCAAACCCCAGCAATGCCAAATGAAAGTAATTATAAAACACAATAATGCTACGTGCCAGGAGTTGAGCTCAGGGCCTCGTGCATGTTAGGGAAGCACTCTACCACTGACCTGCATCCCCAGCCCTAAGGCATTTCCTGTTTTAATTGCACTACCTCAAGGAGATGTGGTTAATGTCACAAGGATCATTGCAAAGGAAGCTGAGAAAGAGGTAGGCTTTCTGAATCTCACTGCTCTGATCAAAGTCAAACCCAGCTAGCCTGACATTTGAGGCAAGGCTCATCATTCATAATGTGCCAATAAAATAGGTGTAAGAAAATTGACTGGGGGTTGGGCGATGATGCTCACACCTGTAATCCAAACTACTCAGGAAGCAGAGATCAGGAAGATCGGGGTTGGAAGTAAGCCCTAGGCAAATAGTTTGTGAGACCTTATCTCGAAAATACCCAACACAAAAAAGGACTGGCGAAGTGGCTCAAGTGGTAGAGCATCTGCCTAGCAAGCATGAGGAACCCGAGCACTGCTAAAAAATAAATAAATAGGGTAAAGGGAATAACAGCTTAAGCCCAGCATCGGTGGCTCACGCCTATAATCCTAGTTACTTTCGAGGCTGAGATCCAGAGGACTGAGGTTCAAGGTCAGCCTGGGTAAACAGTTCTTGAAAGGGTTTGCAGCTATTCTGGAGGCTGGAGCACAGGATCAAGTGTTCTAGACCAGGGCTGGCCCAAGGGCAGAGCATGAGGCCCTGAGTTCAAGCCCTATTACTAACAAAAAAAGAAAAAAAAAGAACAGTTTATTCGGTTCTGTCCTGCTGGGAGGCCCCATGTTGAGGGCCACATCTGGTGATTCTTCTTTCCAGTGGTGACTGTAGAGTCCCACTGTCACACAGGAAGTCACAGGGTGAGAGCAAAGAGACAGCAACAGACCCACTGAGCTAACCCATCCATTCATAAGAGCAGAGCCCTCATGATCTAACCACCTTTTAAAGGTCCTACATAGTCCTAGCTCACACTGGGTGTTAAGTTTCAACATGAGTTTTGGACAGACATCTAAGCCACAGCAAAGGCTTAGGGAGATTATATAACATCCCCAGAGTCACTCAGCTGTTTATGGCCAAGCAGGCATTCCATCCATGGTCTGTCTGAATCCAGAGCCTGTATTACTAACTACTACAGCTACTGTACCTACCCAAGGTCTTTTTTTAAGGCAGAATATCACTATGTGGCACAGACTGGCCTGGAACTCAAGATCCTCCTGCCTCAACCTTCCGAGTGCTGGGATTACATGTGTGTACCACCATGCCTATCCTCTCCCAAGATCTGTTCCTCTTGGAGACTCAAAGCAAAGCCCAGAGTTCTGTGTTCCCACTGTGCTGCTCTACTCCTCCCTTGTTGCTTCAGCCCATGCTGAGTTTCCAGTGAGCAGCTGTGCCCTGATGGTTTAGTAACAACCAGTTGCCAGCCCTCCCCTTCATGAGACAGCTCTCACACAAAGATGACAAACAAGTAGCATCTCAGCTTTTATTAATGTGAGTTTTTAAAAACAAGCATCCATAGCAGTGTGAGAGGTGGGAGAGGAGGAAAGTGCAGGAAGAAGGCCTGCCCTACTGATAATAAAGTTCCAGGTTCATCCCATCATGGATTTCATCTGAAGTAAAGGTGTCAAGGAATCCTCACTGGGGCTCCACCCCCCACACCCCCACTGCCCCGCACCCCTCATCCACTTACAGCTGGATACCAGGTGACTTGAAACCTTCCCTGGCTAAAGAAGTAATTGGACTGGGCCATTTTGATTTGGTGAGAATCCAAACTATAAAAAATACATATGCTTCCTGGCTAACAGACGTGCAGGAGTCTCATTCCAGCCTGACCTCCTGCCCCAACACTCAGGTGGAAATCAGTGTAAATACTTTGAACTTGAAGTGTCCAACTATTTCAGCAGTCAGCCACCCAACTCCCCATTTTCTCAGTGCCATGTGCCACATTCTAAGTTCAACATCTTCTGTGTTAAATTTCCTTTGTTTTTCTGGTACTGGGGATTGAACCCAAGCCCTGGCTATGCTACTCCACTTAAGTCATGCCCCAAGCCCTCTGTGCACTTAAGCACATACAGACTTCAGTACACAACCGAGAGAACCAGGGCCAGGCATGGAGACTGTCTCAAGAAGTCACACAAAGGCCAGGAGCTGGTGGCTCACGCTTGTAATCCTAACTACTCAGGAGGGAGAGATTCAAAGCCAGCCCCTGGCAAATAGTTCATGAGACCCTATCTTGAAAAAAACCCTTCAAAGAAAAGGGCTGATGGAGTGGCTTAAGGTGTAGGCCCTGAATTCAAACCCCAGTACTGGAAAAAAAAAAAAAAAGTCGCACAAAGGATACAGTCCCCCAGCGATACATGGTCCTTAAAGATCGTGTACCTATATGGTGCAGACATTTAAGAGAGACGCTGAAGGAGGTTCTTCACCTTGGAGGCAGACTGCACCCCAGCATAGGGCTGCCTGCAGTGCTGCCCTCAGCCAACACCTTCTAGCCTAATATCGTCCAGCCCGCAGTTCTGCACTTACCACTTCTTAAGGACAATCTTGTTCCAACGGGTGCCAGTTTGGGCCGCGATCAGTTTCTTGAGGTCCCCGATGGTGTCATCGGTGCTGGGCACGGAGAAGTTAAGGCATGTGGGAGACGTAGAATGAGGAAGACGACATTCCAGGGTGGAATACATTACACTCTGCCAGGACCCCAACCGTCCCCTCTCCCACGTTTAAGTAAAACCACCCTCCAACACCGACGGGATTCCTGTCTCATGCAAAGCATCCCCAGAGACCAATGCCTCTCGGCTGTCAGTGGATACTTGCACTTGACGCGGACTTTCTTCCCCAGACGGTCGTTGCAAACAACCTCGATCATCCTGGCTGGAGCTACACAGGGCGGGGAGGAAGAGGCACTGGGGTCAACTTCCGGGTCTCCTAGGTCCCAGAAGCCCCAGTTTCCAAATCTCTCGGGTCCCAGACCCTCAGACCTCCCCTTGAGTCTGTTCATCTCCGCTAACCGCGGGATCCGAGTTCTCTCCGGCCCCACGTCCCGAGTCCCAGGACCGGGGATTCCAGACAGCCGCGTCTCCGCCCCTTCTCGCCCCCAGGGCTCCCGGCTTCCCTTACCACCGGCTCGCGGACCTTTGGTCCGCTGAGTCCCGCCGGCTTTTGTGGATTCCAGGCCTCTCCGCCTCACCTACTCACCTCGAATCGCCTCGAACCTGCCCACACCACAACCTCCTAGCTCGAGCGCCGAGCCCGGACTGGAGTAAACGCTGAGCACAGGAAGCGGAAGTGCTTAGCCGGAAGCGCCCGCTCTTAAGTCCCGGCTGCCTGTCCGCGCCAGGTTGGGTTCTTCAAGGTTCCGGGCTCGAGCAGAGCTTGAGATTCGCACGTACGGCTGAGGTTGGGCAGGAGGACGCCTGCGGTAGACTCGGCGATCGAGTGGGGGGGTCTCGGCGAGTTCAGGGCCGACACCAAGCCCGTTAGAAGCCGTTTGTGAGGCACCTTCATTGTAGAGAGACCTGGTCCGTTGGTGGCGACCAGAGGGTCCCATGGGCAGGGATGACATCCTGTTATTCCTGCGCCCGACCAAGGCCTTTACTGCAGATTCAGGGCCATTGTGGAGCGGCAATCGAGTCCTGCCGCCTTGGTGCCTTCATTCAGGACAGGGCCGGGCCTCGTCGCCTTGGCTCACCTCTTCTCTCTGGCCATCGCGTCTGCCCCCCCGACCCCCGCCACATGTGGGATGCAGACTGCAGTCGATAAGCGATCCTGGATGAGAGTCCACGTTGTGAACCATCTACTCCTCGCCAACATGCAAACCCCGCAAGAAAGCTGGAAACCGCACAATTGCGAAATCTTTTGCTTCCGCATCTTCAAGGAGCATTTGTACCAGATTCCAGGTTCGTGGGAGCTGGTGGGACAGGACCCCCCCACCTTCCTAAATTCAACCAGACACCTTCTGCCAAAGGAGCTGTTGAACGGTTCCTTCTCAGCAGACAGGATTCCCCCAGGTCAGTAAGCCTAAATTTATTCTGAAAGGAATGAATTGATTTTGGCGGGGGTGGGGGGAGGGAGAGGAGGGGCCTTAGGAGTTTGTTGTTGTTGTTGTTGTTGTTTTTTGAGACATGTCCTTGCTGTGTAGCCCAGACTGACCTCGACCTCGCGATCCTCCTGCCTCCGCCTCCTGATTCTGGGGATTACAGGCGTGGCCCACCACGCCCTACTAGGAGCACACCATTTCTTACCTGCCCAATCCATCTTCTCAAACTGGGATGTGAGGTTAGGTGGAGGACATACGAGGCCACCCTGTGGAAAGAACGGATGCTTTGTGCTGTGGTTTGAACATGGTTTGAGAGTGCTTCACAGGATTCCTGTGTTGGAAGCCTGATCCACAGTGAGGCAGTGTTGGGAGATGGTAGGAATTTTAAGAGGTGGATCCTTGTGGGAGGCATTGTGGCTCGCGTCTGATATCATGGAAAACAATTATTATTAATTTTTTAGTACTGCAGTTTGAACTCTAGGGCCTTACATTTGCTAGGCAGGCACTCTACCACTCACACCTCCAGCCCAAGCCATGGGTTTTGGATCCAGAGAGATAAGTCAGAATCCTAATCTTCCTTTAATATAAGCTGTGTGATCTCTCTGAATCTCATTTTCCTCATCTGTGAAAAAGGATGGCAACCCCCACGGTAGCCTTGGTGTAAGGAGTGGTCGTGGACAGTCATAGTTTGCAGTAGAGCAGATAGGAGAAGAGGGAAGGGTGGAAGTGCAAGGGTGGGCAACACATCCTTGCATTCACATAGAAATTGTATCCCACAAGGCCTTAACAATAGTTACCACTAGGTGGCGGAATTGCTAGCATTTTCCTTCTAATGCTTTTTGGTGTTTTCCCAGGTCTGTGACATTGAATACATGGGATTTTCTAAGGGGAAGGAGTAAATATTTTTGTTATTCTCCCATTTTATTTATTACTTACTTATTTTTATTAGTATATTATTGTTGTATTGGGGGTACATTGTGACATTTACAAAAGTGCTTACAACATCTCTTAGATTCCCCCCTCCATCATTCTCCTTATCCCTCCCCCTTCTTAGAATAGTTTCATCAGGTCTTATTGTTCCTTTTTCATACGTGAGTACATAATACTTCCATCATATTTGCTGTCCTTCACCCCTTCCTTATGCCTTCCCCTCATCCCCCCCACCCCCCACTGGGACCAATCCCCCCCACAGGACCTGTTTTACCTTCCTCTCCTCACTCTCCTCCTTTTTTGGCAGTACTGGGGTTTGAGCTCAGGACCTCATGCTTGCTAGGCAGGCACTATACCACTTGAGCCACTTCCCAGCTCCTTCATTTTTTTAAAAAGACATTTTTGTATGTTTATAATGGTTATACAGGGAGTTTCATTGTGAAATTTCCTTATACATACATACATATAATATATATTACATATTATGTATGTATACACTATGTATTATATATATATGTATTATACACCAAATCAGTTCATCCTCTCCATTATTCTCCTTTCTACCTGTCTCCTTATGGTGACTTCAACAGGTTTCAATGTGCCCAATTCATTATTTTTAGAAAGTACATCATCTATATTCACCTTCTTTACTCCCTTTTTTTACCTTCTCCTTCCTATTAGTGCCCTTGGCGTGACCTGTTTTACATTCTATTGTTTGTTGTTCAGTGGGATTTTTGCCTTGGTATTTTACCTGTAAATATGTAAGGTCAACTGGGAAGAATAAATATTCTTAGAACTGGGTGCTGGTGGCTTATGCCTGTAATCCCAGCTACTCAGGAGGCAGAGATCAGGAAGATCATTGTTCAAAGCCAGCTCAGGCAGATAGATTGTGAGACCCTATCTCAAAAAAACCCATCACAAAAAAAGGTTGGCTCAAGCGGTAGAACACCTGCCTAGCAAGTGTGAGAGCCTGAGTTCAAACTCCAGTGCCACCAAGAAAAAAATAATAAAAGTTCTTGGGGTATGGATCCATGGCTCAAGTGATAGAGCATGTGCCTTGCAAATGTGAAGCCTTGAGTTCAAGCCCCAGACTGCCAAAAAATATATAAGAAGAAGAATTTAAAAAGTTCTTTTAAATTTTTTTCCTTTTGTTTCTTATTTTTTGAGATAAGGTCTCACTTTGTAGCCCAGGCTGGCTTCAAATTCCCAATCCTCCTGCTTCCACCTCCTGAGTGCTTGGATTACAGGTGTGTACCACCATGGCTGGCTAAAAAATAAATTCCAGGTTTCTCTGTGATTCTCACATCACTCAAGCACAGGATTGTGACGCTGAGCTGTGGCCTGGGAGAGACAGAAGTGGGATGAGGTGTGCTACAAAAAGAAGAAGAAAATGAGGCCTGGGATTATGGGGGCTTGGGCTTCATGGGGGAATGAGAGGGTCTCTTGGAGGGGCTAGGCCATCCTGGTAGGTGGGAGGCAATGGGGAGTCCTGAACTAGACTGCTACCGAGTAAAGCTCCCTTCCTAGGCCCAGGTGGGAGGGGGAGGGGCCTCAGAAGACCTCAGGACATCTCACCTAGTATGACTCCCCTCACCAAACCCTGGGCATTATAATCCTGCACTGATGAGAGCTAGGAGCTACCATTTGACAGACTAGGGCAACTCCAGCCTGTATCAGAGCAAGCCAGGCCCCTTCTGCCACCAGAGGAAGGATCCTATACATGGGGTTCCTTTTCTCTCACTGACCACCACCCTCCCCTGTACTCCTGTTTGTACTCCTGTTTGCTGCTGGTAAAGAGATATTTCTTTCTTTTGTGTGTGTGGTGATGGTGGGGTTTGAACTCAGGTCCTCGCACTTGCTCTACCACCAGAAGATGGTCCTTAGAATCCCTGTATCTGAGCCAGGGGCAATGACACTTGTGTTCTGCTTAACATGAAGGCAGTGTCCCATCCAGAGTTCAGCAGGGGGAAGAGAACCTTCAGGATGCTCAGGAGGTCCCTTCTCAGCCTCCGAGCATCTCAGCAAAGCCCAGTCTATAGTTCGGATCTTTTGGGAGGGAAGGGTTGTTGCTGTTGTTTGCTTGGGTTTTTTTGTTTTTTTGTTTTTTTGAGACAGGATTTCACTTTGTAGCCCAGGCCTGGGCCTGGGCCTGCTACTTACCATGTAGCCCAGGCTGGCCTCAACTCCCAATCGTCCCGTCTCAGCATCCTGAGTGCTGAGATTATAGGTGTGTGCCATACTCCACCTAATTTGGCTCTTCCTGTCCCCCAAAGGCCCATGTGGTTAAAGGCTTGCTTCCCGGTTTGATGCTATAGGGAGGTGGTGGGATTTAAAGAAAAAAAATGGGTGAGGCTTGCTGGGCGCCAGTGGCTCACGCCTGTAATCCTAGCTACTTGAGCTACTTGGGAGGCTGAGATCAGGAGGATCATGGTTCAAGGTAAGCCCAGGCAAATAGTTCACAAGATGCTCTCTCCAAAATAACTAGAGTAAAATTAACTGGAGGTGTGGCTCAAGGTAGAGTGTCTGCTTTGTAAGTGCAAACCCATGAGTTCAAACCCCAGGCCTACCAAAAAAAAAAAAAAAGTATTTTTTCCATTGGAGGTTGGTTGAGTATAGTTGCAGAGCCAACTATGTTGAGTTTTGTCACTCAGTCTTTGTGATGTGACCAGGCAGCACAACGAATTGTATGTTAGTTTATTGAATAATAGCTTGGGAAGTCGGCAGAGCCTGTGCCACAAGCTCTTGGACAGCTGAGATTGCTATCTTATGCAGGTCTTTTGGACTTTTCCTCCATGGACACAAGACGATAGCCAAAGCATGAAGCATTTTATCTGTGCTCTTATTTGAAGAAAATGTCAAAGGATTGGAACTTAGGGTATGTGTGTTTTGAGGTAACACTTGCATGTGAGTAAAAATTTGAGCAGCATAAAAGGCACTACAAGCTGGGCACAGTGGTGTGAACCACACCTATAATCCCAGCTTCTTGTGAGGTGGACGCAGGAGGATCGTGGTCTGAGGCTGGTTGGGATAGTGCAAGGCCCTATCTGAAAAATAACTAAACCTTAGTGGTCTGGGAGTGCGGCTCAAGTGGAGAGTGCTGGAGGCTCTGCATTCAAACCCCAGTACCACCAAACGAAAAGGCAGTGCAGCAGCATATGGTTTCCTACCCTTGTGCCCCTCGCAGCAGCTACTGCAATTGAAAGTTTCTGTTTCCTAAAGATAGTTTGTGCATCCTGAAAGGTGTGATCTGGGGCCTCCCAAGACAAGGACACACCCTTCGGATGTAACAGGGTTCAGTCCAAAGAGACTTCAAACTTTCAAGTAACCAGCAGCATTTTAAATTATGTCAGAGGTAGGAAATGGAGATCTTGGTTTTCATTTGTTCCATTCCGTGTTCCTCAGGTGCTGGGATCAAACCCAGAGCCTTCCAAGTGCTAGGTATCCATGTGTACATACATATATAATTCTTAGCTCCAGTATTGTTTGTGGTAACAAATCAAGAAGCACCTGAATACCCATGAACATAGGGATGTTTGAATAACTTTGAGATTGGGTATGAAGGTCCAGGCTAGCCTCCAATTCGAGATCCTCCTGCCTCAGCCTCCCAAGGGCCGGGATTGCAGGCATGTGCCACCACACTTGGCTTTTGAGTAAACTCTTAACCTCTCTGAGGAATTACTGGTTTTCGTTTGTTTATTTGTTTTCTGAGTGATCTATATATTTGGTGATAGTGTCAATTTATTCCTTGGATGAACTATGCCTCATATAAATTTATTCTCGTGCATCCAAAAGCATTACTAGGGCTGGGAGCGTGGCTCAAGTGGTAGAGCTCCTGCCTAGTGAGCGTGAAGCCTTGAGTTCAAAGTCCAGGACCAGCCCGCACCCCAAAAACCTAAACAAAGCCAAACAAAGCCTCCCTAAGCAAAAAGCTGACAGGACATCTGTCTGCCACGTCCTCCGCGTGAACGTCGTCCCGATCCCGCCTCAGGGCCCCATCCCCACCCGACGGCCTCCCAGGCTTTTCTTTTTTCTTTTTCTTTCTTGTTTTGCGGTCGTTGGTTCGACTCTGCAGCTGAACCACACCACCCTCCCCGGGCTTGGTTCTCGTCCTCAGCCACCACCCTTGCTCTCTGGGCTCCGCCCTCATGCCACGCCCCCGGCGTTGGCCACGCCCCAACCCCGCCTTCCAGACTTGCTCTTGGTCTTTATCCCGGCCTCCCAATCCTCGCCTCGCCTAGACCACGCCCTACAGGCGCAGACCTCTATCCCAGCCCCGCCCCATCCTAGCCACGCCCCCGAGCCTTTTCCCGCCAAACCACGCCTTCCCACTCGGTGCTTCTCCCAGCCTGGCCTCCCGGCTGCTCCGGCTCCAGTCACACCACCCCAGGGTCGGTCGTAGACCCGAGGCCGCACCTCCGAGCCGGTCCCGGCCCTAGGCTATCCGGGTAACGAGGCAAAGCCACTTCCCCGTGAAGGGAAAGTGGGGTTTCTCAGCCGGCTTCTGGACGTCGCGGCCACCTCAGCACCCTCAGGGAGCGTTCCCGCGTCGCTTTAACCGGAAGCGGAAGTGCGTGTCGGCGGGATCATGGCGACTCTGGTCGACCTGCCGGACTTGGTGCTACTGGAGATCTTCTCTTACCTCCCGGTCCGGGACCGGATCCGCATCTCCAGGTGCGGCCCCGCTCCTCGGGGGGAAGATCCGGGCAGGGGCGCTCCGGAGATGCGGATCCGGTCCTGGCGGGGCCGGGGTCGTTCTAACGACCGGTCACCTCCCCCAGGGTCTGTCACCGCTGGAAGAGGCTGGTGGACGACCGGTGGCTGTGGCGGCACGTCGACCTGACGCTCTACACGGTACGCGGGGTCGGCGGGCGGGCCAGCCGCCGGCGGGTTGGCTGGGACCCCGAGCACCTCCCTCCCGCTGCGGCGACCTCGGGGACCCGGCTGGTAGGGGGGGCCGGGTCGGGACCGGCTCCGCCGCCCCGCGCCACGGTTTCCCCAGCCTAGAAACAGGGAGGAAGCAGTGCTGCGAGCCGGCGCCGGTGTGCACGGCTGTAATCCCGGCTACCTGGAACGCTGAGATGAGGAGGGTCGAGGTTCGAAGCCAGCCCTGGCACATAGTTCCCGAGACCCCCATCTCCAAAATAACCACAGCGAAGTGGAGGTGTGGCTCAAAGTGGTGGAGTGCCTGCCTACAAGTGCGAAGCCCTGAGTACAAACTCCAGCCCCACAAAAAACCAAAAAAAAGTTTTGGTTTGGTTTTTTTTTTTTTTTACTTGCAAAGTGATTTTTTTTATAACCTAAATGAGCATAAATTTATTTGGTGACAAAATGACATCTGACGTGAACTGGCATGAGGCTATCCATACAGCCTTTTCCCTACCTACTTCGATAGAATGCTGTTTTCATACTGTGTTACACCGGGAAGTCTTCATTCATGTGATTACAGCCTACACCCCACTGTTGGTGTTAGATAGTGTCCACACCACATTAACTCTGAATTCTAAAGCGCATCTGTCCCCAACTGATTTGGGTATGGGATCGTGACCCTATAGAAAAATCACTTTCAGCCAGGCACTGGCAGGGATTGGGAGGATGGTGATTCGAGGCCAGAGCCAAAAGTTAAGGAGACTGCATCTCAATCAAGAAAAGCTGGGTACAATGTTGCACTCCTATCATCCCGTGGGAAGCGTAAATAGGAGGGACTCCATCCAGGCCAGCCAGGACACAAATATGAGACAGTATTCAGAAAAATAACTGAAGCCAAAAGGACTGGAGGTGTCGTTCAAGCGGCAGAGCACTTACCTTGCAAGCTCAAAGACTTGAATTCAAACCCCAGTACCGCCAAAAAAGAAAAAGATTTCACAAATCATGAATAATTGTACCAAACACATTGATTGGTGTTGCCACAGGTGCAGCTAAAAGCAATTGACAGTTGTCCCCTGTTAACTTGGGCAGAGTCACCACTATACTTGTTGTGAAGTGTTCCTTTCATCCTGTCCTTTGGTGAGAACGAGCAGTCTTTACAAGATCCAAATCTTTGGAGTGTCTTTGGAGTCAGGCTGTGTTGGATTCCCAGCCCAAACCTCCTGTTTCCTTTTTTTTTTTTTTCTGGGATAGAACCCAGGGTCTCATCCAAGCTAGGCAAGTGCTCACCACTGAGCCACACCCCAGTCCTGGTGTGTGCTTTTAGGCAAATGAAAGCATTCATTTTTTTGTTTTTGTTTTGGTTTTTTTTACTTTTGTAGTACTGGGGATTGAACCCAGGGCCTTCCACACGCTATGCAAGTGTTTTACCACCTGAGCCACACCTCCTGCCCTTCTGTTTGTATTTTGTTTCTGAAACAGGGTCTTGCTAACTTTTCCTGGGCTGATCTCGAATTTGAGATCCTCCTATTTCTGCTTTTCGAGTGGCTGACATAGGTGTGAACTATCACACCTGGGTTTTTTTTTTTTTTTCTTTTTGTGGTACTGGTGTTTAAACTCAGGGTCTATACCTTCAGCCACTCCGTCAGCCCTGTTTTTGTGTTGAGTTTTTCAAGATAGGATCTTGAAAACTATTTGTCCCATCTGATCCTTCAAACTCTGATCCTCTTGATCTCAGCCTCCCGAGGTCCTAGGATTACAGGAGTGAGCCACCAGCGCCCAGCATCTGGCTACTTTTTTAAAAATAATACATATGCAAGATTTGAAATGCAAAACAGGAAAAATTCAAATATCTTTAACTAAGACCTTAAAGTCTTGTCCATATTTCTGTCCTCCCAAGTCAACCTGTTCTTCCTTCCTGGAGGCAACAAGTGTTCCCATTCACTTTTGCATCCTAGAGACCCTGTCATCCCTTGGTATCTGCAGGGATTGGTTCAAACACCCCAGATACCCAAATCCCCGGATGCTCAAGTCTTCATATATAAAATGACATGGTGTTCACGTAGAACCAGCACATATTGTCCTGTAGACTTTAAATTATCTCTGAATGACTTAGAATACTTAATGCAATGTGAGTGCTATGAAAGCAGTTATTTTTGTTTTTTGTTTTGGTGGTAGTGGGGTTTGAACTCAGGGCCTCATGCTTGCTAGGCAGGCACTCTACCACTTGAGCCACTCCACCAGCCCTGAAAAAGATTTTTTATCCATGCTGGAGGGATGGCCTAAGTAGTACAGTGCTTGCCTAGCAAGCACAAAGCCCTGAGTTCAAACCCCGGTACCACCAAACAAACAAAAAACAGTAGGCCTGATAGTGTGCACCTCCCAGCACTGAGGCTGAGGCAGGAGGATCCAGGGGTCAAGGCCATCTGTCATCTTGGGCTGCATAGCAAGACCCTATCTCAAAACAGAATAAAAAAAGGGAGGCACAAAAGTCATCAATAGGGCTTATGGTTGGTGTAGTGGCACATGCCTAGAATGCCAGCAATCTGGAGGCAGGGGCAGGAGGATCTCTAGTATTAGAGGCCAGCCTGGGCTACATAACCAGACCTCATTGCTAAAAAAAAAAAAAAACAACAGGCTTGGCACCAGTGGCTCATTCCTGTAATCGTAGCTACTCAGGAGGCAGAGATCAGGAGGATCGCAGTTCAAAGCCAGCCTGGGCAAATAGTTCTCGAGACCCTATCTCAAAAAATCCATCACAAAAATAGGGCAGGTGGAGTGGCTCAAGGTGGAGGCCCTGAGTTTAAGCCCCAGTACCACAGAAAAAGGTGGGGGGAATTGAGGGCTCACAGAGCCATGGGGTGCTTTCTTTCCTCCTCCAGAAGCTCCTGGGAATGTGTTCTGTCGCTGAAGGCAGATCTGACTGGATCTTTCTCCCCACTGAATTTCTACAAAGTCCCAGCAGCCAGAGTAGTGGGGTCAAACCGTCTTCTTATTCCTGAGGAGAAGGCTGGCAAGCCCAGCCGGTCACCAGAACCCATGCCAGGGTGTGTCTATCACCAGCTAGGACAGGCAGGGTGCTCGGGAGCCCTGTGCCTCTCACCCATCATCCCCCATGCCTGGTTCTTGCAGATGCGGCCTAAAGTCATGTGGCACCTCCTTCGGAGATACATGGCGACCCGACTACATTCCCTGCGGATGGGTGGCTACCTATTCTCTGGCTCCCAGGCCCCCCAGCTGTCCCCTGCCCTGATGAGAGCCCTGGGCCAGAAGTGCCCCAACTTGCGGCGCCTGTGCCTGCACGTGGCTGACCTGAGCATGGTGCCCATCACCAGCCTGCCCCGCACACTGAGGACGCTGGAACTGCACAGCTGCGAGATCTCGATGGCCTGGCTGCTCAAGGAGCAGGACCCCACCGTACTGCCGCTGCTCGAGTGCATCGTGCTGGACCGTGTGCCCGCCTTCCGAGACGAGCACCTGCAGGGCCTCACGCGCTTCCGGGCCCTACGCTCGCTGGTGCTGGGTGGCACCTATCGTGTCACCGAGACAGGGCTGGATGCCAGCCTGCAGGAGCTGAGCTACTTGCAGCGGCTGGAGGTGCTGGGCTGCACCCTCTCGGCTGACAGCACCCTGCTGGCCATCAGCCGCCACCTCCGAGATGTCCGCAAAATCCGACTGACCGTGGGGGGCCTCTCTGCCCCTGGCCTGGCTGCGCTGGAGGGAATGCCGGCCCTGGAGAGTCTGTGCCTTCAGGGGCCCCTCATCACCCCAGAAATGCCGACTCCTGCCCAAATCGTCGCCTCCTGCCTGTCTATGCCCAAGCTCAAGGCGCTGGAGGTGCAGGGGCTGGGCTGGGAGGGCCAGGAGGCTGAGAGGGTCCTGTGTAAAGGGCTGCCCCACTGTATGGTCATCGTCAGGCCTTGCCCCAAAGAGTCCATGGACTGGTGGATGTGACATGCCACCCATCCCTGAGACCCAACCCGGCTTTCACAGTGGAGCCCCCGAAGGCTCCAAGCAGCAAATGGAAGTGCAGATGATCGGGCTTGAGGGAACTGAATGCAGCAAGGACTGAAAACCAGAGCCTTAACTGGGCACAGCGCCTCACGCTTGTAGTCCTAGCTACTTGGGAGACTGAGATCAGGAGGATCAGGGTTCAAGGCCAGCCCCGGCAAATAGTTCAAGAGACCCCATCTTCAGAATAACCATAGTTAAATGGACCAGAGGTGTGGCTAAAGTAGTAGAGTGCCTGCTTTGCAAGTGCAAAGCCCTGAGTTCAAACTCCAGTCCCACCAAAAAAAAAAAAAGAGCCTTGGGACCTCCAGACTGGGGGGGAGGGGCTGATTTGCCAGCTTTGTGGCCTCGTCCCATCAGCCATTCTCTGGGAGGCCCAGTTCCCACATCTAGAAATAGCGATCAGAGCTACCTCATTATAGTGCAAAGCCTTACTCTAACAGACCCCAGCCCCGGAGGACCCGGATGCAGGGTCATTCTCCAGGTCATCCTCAGGGTCCTTCACCCTCAGGAATGTGATGGGTGCAGACCAGTGGGGTTAAGAGCTGGAGCCCATCCTCCTCCCGAGACCTGGGAGGACCATCTATGCATGTGCACACACACCTGTGCAGCGTGTACACCCACACGCACTAAGACACCTCAGGGCTAGAGAGGCTCGCCGCTGAATAATCCAGATGTTCCCCAAGGTTCTCACTTGTATTTTCTGTATCTTGTATTCTGCCTTTTTCACGTTTTCCACAGCGTATAGTATTTTGCTATTAAAGAACAATAATCATTTTCTGAAGAAGAGCATTCCATTTATTCATTGGATAAGTGTGCCCCACTCACCATGTACTTTGCAGGTGCCATTCTAGGTATGGAGTCACAGAACAAAGACCCTTGTAGTGCAGAGATGCCAGGGTGGCAAACAGGTCACACATCTGTGGACTAATTTTACAGCCTCCAGGGTGATGGGATCGAAGTACAGATGGTTGGTAGAGAGAGAGGGCAAAGATCTGAGACTTGATAGAGCAGCCATGGGGATGGTGGGGGAAGATCAGGAAAGGCGAAGTCCCTGAGTGGGGGGACTGGGGTGTGACTCTACAAAAAAAGATGGGAATGACCCTGGCACTTCTCAGGAGCAGGAAGACGGTCCCTGTGGCAGGGTGAATGGGGGAGAGCTCCTAAGGACAAGGGCAGGCGGGACTTCCCTTGCAGGTGGCTCAGGTTTTAGGGGCTCAGCAACAACTCTGTCTTTTGAGTGGGACCCCACTTGGAAGATGCAGGTGTTGATAAGCTTAGATCCTGAGTACGCACCCAACAGCTAAGCCTTACTTTGATCTGAGTTGGGTTGGGGGATATGAAGGGGTGGTTCAACCCAGGTCTTGGGACTCACCACCTGGTGCCTCCCCTGTCGCCAGGGGAGCCAGAAGGGAGGGGACAGCTGAGCTGAGTCCCTTGGGTCCTTGTTCCAAACCCACCCATCAGGGGAGCTGCACCTGTTCCTTCCCAGCCTTTTCTACTCAGAGTGTCATAGAAAATCCTTCACTGGCCACTTGAGGGCTGGGGCATGGGTGTGCCCCAGATGTGACCATGGGCAGAGTCTTGCAACTGTCCAAATCTGTGACCAAACCTAGCAGATGCAGCCCAGGACATGAAGGGTGGGGTGGGCTGGGAGAGGGACAGGGTGGAGCCACACTGGTGCTTGGAGAGTAGAGAAGTCACAGCTGCTGGGGCTCCTCTGGGGAGGGGTCCTGGAAAGCTGAGGTCTGATTGGGGGAGTATAATGAGGGGCTCCACGCCAGTGACCCCAAACTGCAGTGATGCTATGGTTGCCATGGTTTGAGTTTGTCTCCCAAGAGTTAATGTGTTGGCAGCTTGGTCCTCAGTGGAGGTATGAAAGATGGTAGGACCTTTAAGAGGTGGAGTCTAGGATTGGGGGTGTGGCTTAAATGGTAAAACACCTGAAGTTCTGAGTTCAATGCCCACTATAGCCAATAATCAATAATAATCTGGCTGGGTGCAGGGTGGCTCATGCCTGTAACTCTAGCTTCTCAAGAGGGAGAGATGAGGAGGATCAGGGTTCAAACCCAGTCCCGGCAAATAGTTCGAGAGACCCTATCTTGAAAAACCCGTCACAAAAATGGGGCTGAGGTGGAATGGCTCAAGGTGTACGCCCTAGTACTGCAAAATAATGATAATAATAATCTGTGTGTGTGTGTGTGTGTGTGTGTGTGTGTGTGAGAGAGAGAGAGAGAGAGAGATGGAATCTGATGAGAGGTCCCATAAGTCATTTAGGGGTATCCCCTTGGAAGTGACTGTGGGACCCCAACCTCTCTCTGGCTTCCTGTTTACTGCTGTGACGTCTTCCACACACGCAGACACCATGTGATGTTACTCCAGTGAGGTCTTCACCAGAACTGATTTGTTACTGGCATCATGCCCTCAAATCTCTAGAACTGTGAGCATAACCCTCTTCTCTTTATAAAGTTAGCCTGTCTCGGGCATTTTGTTTTAATAATAATTGAACTAACACAATTGGGCCAGGAAGAAAAGTCTTCCCTTCTTTCTACCTTACCAGGAAGGAAGGAGTAGCAGCTACAGTCATTTAGAAGGAGGGAAATTGGTGGTGGTGAAAGAAACCCTAATTTGACCCCAGTACTGCCAAAAAATAGCTTTTCCTAATGGGTGCGCTGGTGCACATCTATAATCCCAGCCACTTGGTTGGCTAAATCAGGAGAATAACAAGTTCAAGCCTGCCAGAGCTACATAGGCATTGCTAGCCTGGACAATTTAGCAAGACCCCTGTCTCTAAGCCATGTGTGGTGGTGCACACCTGTAATCCCAGCACTCCGGAGGCATAAGCAGAAGGATCAGCTGCAAAGGTCCCAGAGGCCTTTGTGATATTTCTGCCCTGTGTTTGCCAAATGCACTAGGGTGTGGCACAGCTGCTCAACCACAGGGCTCCCCTGCAGGGAAAAGGGGCCCGAGTGTTTACTTTGTGCCCCAGTTACTGTGCAACCAATATACAGAATGTTTTCTTTCATCTTGCAAAACTGAAACTCTGCCCCATTAAACACGAACTCCCGTTCCCTCCCCGCCCCCAGCCCATGGCGCCCCCCACTCTACTTCTAGCTCTATGAATTTGATAGCTAGGTACCACCTATAAATGGAATCATACAGAATTATGTCCTTTTGTGACGGGCTGATCCACTGACATGATGTTCTCAACGTTCACCCATGGGTAGCCTGTGGCAGGATTTCTTTCCTTTTGAATCCCGAGTAATATTCCATTGTATGAGTGTATCACATTGGCTTATCCACTCACCTGTTCATCCACATCTGGGTTGCCTTTGCCTCTTGGCTATTAAGAATAACAGGTGTGTAAGTATCTTCTCAACAGCCTTCTTTCAAGCACTCTGGAGGCTGAGAGAGGAGAATAGTAATTTTGAGGCTGTCCTGGGCTACAAAGATCCTGTCTGTAGCTATTTGGGAGGTGGAGATTAAAAAGCTTAAAGTTCAAGGCCGGCCCCAGGAAAAAGCTTGAGAGACCTCATCTCAACCAATAGCTGGGCATAGTAGTGTGTGCCTGTCATTCCAGCTACACAGGAAGCATAAATGGAGGATCACGGTCCAGCCTGGCCTGGGGAAGAATTACTCTATTTGAAAAACGTAGGAAAAAAGGGCTGCAGGCATGGTAGAGTACCTGCCTAGCAAGCACAGGGCCCTGAGTTCAAACTCTAGCACCACCAAGAACATAAACAAAAAGCAAAAAAAGAAAACCTGTACTGGTCATTAGATTAGGCATTTTGACAGTGCAGTTCCAAGTTAACAAGCAGAATAATACAAAGACTGGACAGCAAGTTGGAAGAGTTCCACAATATAACATACTGAAGTTTGAAAACTAGGAATTAAATCATCAGAGTATTTACGTAACAGTTTTATTTGTCCAAAACTCACAATGCAGGGCTGGGCAGGGTGCCAGTGGCTCACACCTGTAATCAGAGCTACTCAGGAGGCAGAGATCAGGAGGATCAAGGCTCAAGGAAGCCCTGGGGAAATAGTTCATGGGACCCTATCTCGAAAACACTCAAGACAAAACAGGACTGGTGGAGTGGCTCAAGTGGTAGAGCACCTGCCTAGCAAGTGTGAGGCCCTGAGTTCAAACCCCAGTGCCACCAAAAAAAGTAACACTAAAATAAAGAATAAATTAAAACAGTGCAGGGCTAGGAATGTTGCTCCATGGCACAGCACCTGCATGGCACCTGTAAGGCCCTGGGTTTCATCCAAGCACTGGGATTACAGGCATAGGCTAACCCACCCAGACTGGAAAATATTTGTTTCATCTGAGAATTTTCAGAAAAAAATGAAAGGTTTTATGTTTGGTTTTGGAAAAAAAATAGCTACTTTGTGTTTCAGGGTTATAATCCCAGAACTCAGGAGGCAGAGGTAGAAGGACCCCAAGTTCAAGGCCATCCTAGGCTACAGAGACACCTTAGAGGTTGGGGGGAGGAAGGGAAACCTGATTGAGATGGCATGAAATACCACTATCATCCTGTAGATGGCAGCATGCCACGTAAAATCATTAGCATCTCACCAGTCCTTGAAGAAAACTATTTGTTGACATCTCCTGTGTCAGCTGGATACTCTTTTTTTTTTTTTTTTTGTGAACTGGTTAATTCTTGTGTTTATTCCCCAATTTTTAAAACTTATTCATTTATTCACATGTGCATACATTGTTTGGGTCATTTCTTCCCCCTGCCCCCCTCCCCTACCATCTGCCCCCCTTCCCCCCTCGCTTCCAGGCAGAACCTGTTCTGCCCTTATCTCTAATTTTGTTGAAGAGAAGACATAAGCATAACAAGGAAGACAAAGCGTTTTTGCTAGTTGAGTTGAGGATAGCTACACAGAGAGATTCCTAGCATTGCTTCCATGTACCCATGTGTTACGACCCATGTTGATTCATCTCTAACTGATCTTGACACTGGTTCCTGATCACCTTCTCCTGTTAACCTCTGTTGCTTTAAGGTTTCTGTATTAGCTCCTCTGCAGGGAGAATGTCAAACGCTTTCATGTTTTGGGTTTTCTACCTATTCCTATATCTCCCGTATGTGCTCTCCCCTTTTCTTGTGATCCAAGCCCAACCACATAGCTGCATTTGCCTTAGATCTAAAGTCTGCATATGAGGAAGAACATACAATTTTTGATCTTCTG